CAGGTAGGTTTTGTCTCTGACATACAAATTCTGTGTGCTCTGCTGATATCCAAGAATTGCCACAGGCCAACCTGTCAGCTTTCAATCAGGGCAGAATCACAGACCCTCAGACCTTCTGCAGTCCTGACATCATCAAACAGCCCCCTGCAGCTCCTGACGACACTGCAGAACCAGCCACCCACACTGACAACAGCACTGGCCAGAGTCACTGATCCTGTTCTCCGGGAAGCAGAGCTGCCGCTACATAATGAAAACTGGAATCATGCTGTCTGGAACCCCGGGTTCCCCAGGTACAGCAGATAAGGAGATTAAGGAGAGGCCACCTCCACACAAGCTCTTCACTGGAAGGCAGAATGATACGAGGGCCTGAGGTACTGATGCGGCACAAGAAAGACATGGCCCGCCCAGCAGAAAAACAAAGTTATACACAAAACTGTGACCAAGTACGGTCACACAACTGCCGTATCTAAGCATATTTTTTACATGTGCACGCGTGTATGTATGTATGCATTTCCCCATCCTCTCTGCCAACTCTCCATCCAAGTTAGTTAAGGTACGAGATTCAAAGACACTTAATGGGTCAGGCATGGTGGCACACGCCTGAGGTCCCAAGAGCAGCCTGAGCGATTTCAAGGCCAGCCTGAACTACACAGGAGACTCCAAAGACACATAAAGGAAGGGAGTATAGGGAATATCTATGTAAGGAATATATGAAACTTGTCAGGCAGAAGCAAATGTCTTGTTGACTGAAAACATAAATACAGGTAGAAGCATGTGCGGGCTCTGAGTGTCAAAGCAGACTGTGTGGGACGTTTTCTGTGAATGGTCTCATGCCTGGCCTTCTAAGCAAGGGCAAGAAATGCAACACCATACTTCTCAGACAGCCTCCACCAATAGAGGCACCTATGCAAAAGGTGGAAGGCAAACATGAGAAATCATTACTCTCTCCTGGGAGCAGGTGTAAAACACAGGTCCATGCAGGTATCAGGAAGATGAGAAGATGAGAAACACTCATTTTCACGCTGTCAACAATTCAGATCAGTCAAAGCAGCGTCCTGTGAGTTCAGGTCTTCTCATCTCCTCAAAGTCAGAGGCAACTAGCCCTAGGTCAGTAGCAAACCTACGGCACACAGGCCACGGTGGGCTGTTTGCATTATTGAAAGCTCTAAAAGATTCACCATCATTGCCCTAGGCTTGTTGATGCTTTGGTAAGCATACTTAATTCAACTTATGATCTCCACAGTCTTCTCATAAATTAGAGATAGAATGTTGGTCTCAAAAGTGCAGGGTTTCAGAAACAGGAGATCTGCATTTTCTGCAATGTTCTGTCACCGCCCTCCAGTCACAAGACAGGAAAGTACTCCGATTCCACAATTTAAAAATGAGATTCAGGGCATGTGCGATGCATCCAACTTTCTCATTTTCCCTCTGGTAATGTAATTGGTTGACTTATGAGCCCTATTTTAATTAATGAAGGTTATTTCCCTTCGTTCACTTATTGTAGATATGTAACCCTTGGTTTTTATTACACCTCATACAGAATAACTTGCAGTATTTTTTAACTTCCCTTACATTCAAACTTATCCGTTAAAAGTAGATGCAGGCAGCAGCTTCATTATGCCTTTTAAGGTAGCAATTTCATATCATTTTTGTACAGAAATACATAATATTTAATATAAGTACTTCTTCTTTTATATTATAGTTATACAAATGCTGATTTGCTTATAAATTATGTATATGACATTATACTATCTGAAAATTCAATTTAGCAACAGTAAAGGGGATGCTACAAAATACTGGCTACAAACAGAAGGCATTAAATCTGATGTGATTAAAAATCACTGGGCTAGAAAAAAGAAATTACAGATATGAGAAGTGTTCAAATTAATTAACTTATTAACAGGACACTGGCATACTGTCACTGAGAGAAATGGAATGACAGAAGGTACCAGAGGTGTAATCTGTTGGAATATCCATGCCAATGACTATTAGGATAAAGACAGGAATAAAAATTATTTTTCAAAAGTAAGAAGGGTTTCTCAGCTAGCCACAAGTAACAGCAGGGGGCCCACACAGGAGCTGAATCCAAGAAGATACAACAGAGAAATGTGGAGAACGTCTGATATTTTGCAAACCACAGGAGCTAAGAAACAGGTCCTCCACCCGGAAGAGCTAAAGGGCAGCTGATGTACCAAGAGCCAAGTCAAGTGTGGATTCTGGCACAGCGGCAGGGCCAGCGCCCTGACGACACACATTTCCTGCCAGGGACCACAGAGTGTAAGGGAAAGGGCTGGAACGATGAGGGCAGGAATGCGATGGACAGGGCACACAGAAAGCAAAATAGAGATTTGTCACAGCAGAAATTTAAAAAGCCAAGCATGACTGGAGAAGAAGGGCTGGCTTACTCAGACCTTGTCCCACTGAAGGTAATAAAATCAGTGAGGAGCTGGGCATGGTGGCACACACCTCTCATCCCAGCAGCAGGAGGCCGAAGGAGGCAGGAAGATAATGCAAGTTCAAAGCCAGCCTAGGCTACACAGTGAGTTCAAGGCCAGCCTGACCTATACAACACAACCCTGTCTCAACAACAACAATAATAATAGCAGTGAGAACAGTTCTCTATGGAGAACCATGCCAAAGACAGGACAGGCTGCAGAAAGGTCTAGGACAAGAGTGGTGACCACATGGCATGCATGCTGCAGTGGGCTGCCGCACCAGTGGAAGTTCTGAAAGGTTCACCATCACCAGACCAGGACAAGGGCCTGGAAGTCACACAGCTCCTGAAGTCCAGTCACCAGAGTGCCACAGTAATTCTGTTCCTGCTGACACCACCACAAACTGTAGAAAATGTGAGAGCCAGCTGGCTGTGACATCTGTCACCCCTGTTACCGTGACCGCAGGACTGATGTGGTTGATCCTGCTGGCTAGGCTAGGGTCCCCTTCCTCCCTCATCACTCCATGTGTGTCCCTCCTAAAGCTGCGCAACACTACCTGGAAAAGTTTGGCAAGTCCTCAAATTTAAAAAAAAAAAATGCGCGCGCATGCCAACACACACACACACACACACACACACACACACAAACTTGTCATGATCCAGCAACTGCACTCCCAGGTACACACGGAACACAAAAACCCATGCTTGGAATAATATTCAGGGTAGCATCATTTATAACATCCAAAAAGGTAGCAGCAACCCTAACGTCCATCAACCAATGAAAAGATACACAAAGATAAATCCACACGCACAGCATTAGCAGCCATGAAGAGGAATGAAATACTCACACGGTACCACACGGACACACCCGAAAACATCACCCCACGTGACAGAAACCAGGCGCAAAAGGCCACACTCCACACAATATCCTTTTGTATGTGGAATGTCCCAATTAGACAAACTTGCAGAGACACCAATTGATTCATGATTCCTCAGGAATGTAGGAAGAAGGGAGAATGACGCTTGACTGCTAGGATTCCTTTGGAGAGGACAAAAATGTCCTAGAATTATATTCTGGTAATGGTTGCACAACCCTGTGATTATACCGAAAACCATTCAATGGTATATTTTAAATGAATGGATTGTACAGTATGTAAATTGCTCAATAAAAACAAGAAAATATGAATACATACAGTAGAAATTCACAGGTTGACTATATTAAAATACAACAAAGTACTTGAAATAATGGAAACCATTGGATTAAATTTACACTTATACTGGAAATTTTTTTAAAAAGGTAGAATGGGATGGAGTATAACTCCTCTGTGGTACTGTACTTGACTAGCATGTATGAGCCACTGAGTTCAACTCCACAGGACCACACACAAAAAAAGAAAAATGACACCATGTAATTTGACTTACTATGAAGAGTTAAAGTCAAGACAATACATATTGGCTTAACGACAGAAAAATATATATTGGTACACAACATGAAAAGTCCAGAAATAAGACTGCCCACATATGATAGATGGCCCTGCAGACTGGAAAGTAATTCAACAGAGAGTGCAAAGTTTTCAACAAATGGCACCAAAAAAACCAACTACCCAGTAAGCCTCATCAAGATGGATCAAAGACCTAAAGGCAAAAGTTTAAAACTACATAGAAGCTTTAAAAGAAAACAAAGAATATCAAATAATACAAAAAGCAAACCATTAAAGAAAAAAAAAGGTAAGTTGGGCAGTATCCAGTATTCAACTTAAAGATACCTTTAAGAAACAGTAAGAAGTCACAGACTGGAAGAAATATCCATACTGCACATCTGCTAAAAGATCCATATCCATAATGTATCAGGACTTCTAATCAATAACCTAGAGTACAATCACTTGATCCAGGCACAATTATGACAGGTATTTCCCAAATATAACGGCCAGCGTGCACATGACAAGGTCCTCCTCAGCAGCAGCAGCAGCCAGCAAATGTAAAATAAAACCACTCTGGCCAATAGTTCTGCTTCTAGGTATCCACCCAAGGAAAACGGGAATATATGCTGACAAATGGTTTTGTATGCAAATGTTCACGGTGGTTTTATTAGTAACAGTCGAATACTGAAAACAGAGAGGAAACTGAGGCATGGTCCCACAATGGAACACCACTGCGCAGAAACAGAATAAACCTCTATATGCGCTACAAACATGGGTACAGCTCAGGAACGGAATGGCGCCTGAGGAAGCCACTCACAGATCACCACACCATTATCTCACACACCAGTCATGTGACGTTTTAGAAATGCAAAATGAAATAAGAAAGTAGTAACTAGAACGATGGCTGCATGGGGAGGTCTGAGTATGAATGGGCCCAAGTAAATTCACAAGGGTTAGGGAAAGAATTTACACCTTCTCTGGGATATGGGTTCCACATCCATTTAGAATTGCTGAACTCATTTTAAGACATCCAACCAAAATTTGTGCACGTAATTACACCATTATTGGTAAACTTAGTGACTCCATGTAATAGCCACAAAATGTCACACAACAGAAATAACACTTTAATAAAAGCAAACAAATACCTTTGTCCACCTGCAGAGCTTCACCCCAGAGTGGCTCCCAATCAACTGATAACCTGAATGGAAAAGCAGAACACAAAACTGAATTCATCAAAGCCTCATATCAAATAGTGATAGTAAAATTTAGCACAATGATGTTTTTTGTTGTTGTTGTTTGGTTGGGTGGTTTTGCTTAAACTATGGCAGTCAACAGCCCCATAGTGGAAAACAGTAATGGTTTTACTCGCTGTGATGAGAAACAGTTTAAACTGTGTATATATATAATGACATAGACTCAAAAGAATCCATGAATTAATCTAAAATCATACAGGGAGGCTTTAACCTCTCAGTGTCTAACATACCTCACAGGCTAAAACTCAGAGCAGCTCCAAAAAGTCGGAGAACCCCATGAAACAACCCTCTTGGAGGATACCAGAGCACTGCAGATACTCATCTAGAAGACCCGAAAGGGGCTTTCTGGGGTAAAATGATGGAATACAAGTATCGCTTGCAGAAATCCACAAGTGAGAAGAGGCAAGAGTTTAAAAGGAGAAACTACAGTCTGAGGAGAAGAGTAAGAGCTCCAGGAATCAGAACAAAAAGATGGGATAAGAAAGTTACAAGACACGGAGAGCCTGACACGGTGATACATGCTCGTGATCTAGCATCCGGGAGGCTGCTGAGGGTCACCACAAGTTAATTCAAGGGCAGCCAGCCCTACACAGTGAGACCCTGCCTCAAAACAAAACAAAACAAAAATACCAAAAGAGCCTGGAGAAACAGTAAGGCAACACAGATGAAAGTCTGCAGCATTCTACATGACTCAGAGTGGGGGCAAGGTCAGCCTGGAGAGGGCAGCAGCCACGGTGGTGACAAAGGACAGCAGACACTCATGGTTACTGCAGGCTGTGAGGCGAATGTGAGGACTGAGTCTGAGAGTGGCTCATCTTGCCTGGCAGGTTAGTCCTGGAGAAGATACCCACAGCAACAGCCACCAAATCTTGGAGTGGTCCAAACAGAAGCCATCTGGAGAGGCGGCTTACTGTTTGGGAATGAGTTGCTCCAGAGACCAAGAGTCACAGACAACCACACTTCCGGGCCTCTGGGACACCCTGCCACAACAGCTGGGTGGGAAGAAGCCACAACAGGCAGTCATTAATAAGTCACGCACCATAATCAAGCTGTATTCCAGGAATGCAAGGATGGTTCATCATAAATCAACAATGTGATACAGCTGATAAATAGACTCAAGGAAAACAATCACAGGATTGTCTATGTAGAAAAAGCCTTTGACAGTTTCAACATTCCTTCATGATAAAAGCCCAAAGAAACAAGTACAAAAGGATCATACCACAACATAATAAAGGCTAGCCCCAACAAACTCATGGCCAACATCATACTGAATAGGGAGAACAATGCATTTCCTCTAAAATCAGCAAGGAGAAGAGGGAATCTACTGTTCAATATAGCACTTCAAATTTTAGAGCAATTAGGCAGCAGATAGAAAAAGAAGAAAGGATACAACAGGAGAGGAAGAATTTAAATTATCCTTATTTGCAGATATGATCCTATTCTCAGAAGACCCTAAAGGCTCCATCAAGATTTTTACATTTTATAAACAAAATCAGCAAAGTAGCAGGATACAAATCAACACACAAGTGTCAATAGTTTGTCTATGCACCAACAATGAACTAAATGAGAAAGAAATCAAAGAAACAATTCCTAGAAACCAACCTAACCAAGGAGGTGAAAGACCACTACAGTGAACCTTTGAAAACACTGAAGAAAGAAACACAAGAAACACTAGACGATGGAAAGACCGCCTGTGTTCACAGATCGTAGGACAATGGCCATACTACCAACAGACCAAACGCAATCCCCGTCAAAATACCAGTAACATTCTTCACAGGACTAGAAAAAAGTCCTGAAATGTACATGGAAACACAAGAGACCCAGAATAGCAAAGGCAACCCTGAGCAAAAAGAGAAATGCTGGAGAGGTCATAGTGCTATGGAACTTCAGTAACAAAACAGCATGGAACTGGCATCCAAACAGACGGCACTGAACAGAGGAAACAGAAGTGAGCCACTGAATCTTGACAAAGGGGCCAAAAGCAGGTTGGAAAAAAGGCAGTCTCTTTATCAAATGGTGCGGGGAAAACTAGACATCCACGTGAGGAGAATGAAACTAGATCCCCACTATTCGTCCTGTACAAAACTCAGCTCAGAATGGAGAAGAAATCTAAACAGGAGACCCAAACTTTGCAACCACTAGAAGGAAACACTTTGCAAACACTAGAAGGAAGGGGGACCCTCTGAGACACAGGCACAAGTAAAGACTTCCTGAACAGAACCCCAGCAACACAGAAAGGAACTGCAAGACTTGACTGGGGCTGCACGAACTCAGCAAGGAAAACAACAAACCAAAGAGACTACATGCAGAGCGGGAGGAAATCTTTGCTAGCCACTCTTCCAACAGAGAATTACTAAGCAGAAGAAAGAATTCAAAAATATTACCTTCCCCAAAAATTAACCACTAAATAGACAAATGAATTGAACAGACACTTCTGAAAAGCACAAACACACAAGAGATACAAGGAAAAATGTCCAACATCCCCTAAAGAAATGCAAATCAAAACCACATAGATTCTGGCTCCACACAGAATGTTTATCATCAAGGATATTCCCCCCACCAAAAAATTACTAATGCTGGTGAGGCACGGGGGGAAAGGAACCCCTCTATACTGACAGTAGAAATGTAAATCAGTACAACCACTATGGAAATCAGTATGGAGTTTCTAAAAAACTCAGAAAACGCTACCATCTGACCTTCCTATACCACTTCTTAATATATATTCAAAGGAACTGAGGACAGCATACTGTAAGGACACCTACATACCCATGTTTATTTGACAACAGCCAACATACAGAACCAGCCCAGGTGCCCAAGAGCAGATGAATGCACAGCATCAGTCAGTCACAAGGAAGAAGGCAATTCTGTCATTCAGGAAGATGTATGGGGCTGAAGATCATCCCAGTAAGGGAACTGAGTCAGACTCAGAAAGACGAACATTGCACGCTTTCTCTAGTATGTGGAGTCTAATGAAAGAAAGATAACATAGAAGTAGAAGGAGGCTGTCACTAGAAAAGAGGGAGGGAATAAGAGATGCAGGAAGAGGGCTTGTAAGTGAAGGTAATACAATGAATAGGATCAAAATGTTATATGCATGTAAAAAACATCACATCAAAACCCATTATTTTGTAAAATTAATAGCCATTAGTCAAGAACATATATATATATATATATATATATATATATATATATAGTTTTTTCTATTGGAGGTACTATGAATCAAACTCAGAACCTTACACTTGCACGGCAGGAAGAATATATTTTTTAAATGGGCATGGTGGCACATGCTTATAATCCCTGCATTCGAGAGACAGACACAGGAGGATCATTGTGAGTCTGAGACCAGCAGATTACATGCTGAGCTCGAGGCCAGTCTGAACTGCATAGTGAGACCTGATTCCAAAAAGAAAAAAAATTTTAAAATGAAACTGCAGAATAACTTTTCAAATGGACCTTGGGCTGGCTATGAAGCAAAAACAACAATATACTTCAAATGAACACTAGGAAACTATCACCGCTGATCTTGGAAAAGAATATGAAGAATCAAATTGGCAATAGAAGATCAAAACAATGAATTATTGACCCAAAAAGAGGGAAAATCAAATTCTAAGAACTACAATGTAATGGGAATTCTCAGTATCACACCACAACCTAGTATCTAAAAACTCTTAGCCATAGGGCTGGGGATTTAGCTCAGCGGCACAAGCGCCTGCCTTGCAAGCAGGCAGTCGTGAGTTCAATCCCTGGTACCGATAAAAACGAAAAGCACCAAAAAAAAAAAAACCTCTTAGCCATGTAAGACCTGAAACAGTAGGCAAAAACTGTGCCAAGATAATCTCATTTAGTTTTCAAACATTTTGATTTCAAAAAATTCAATAAAGTTTCGCATGAGGCTTCAAACAGTAAGCCCCAATTACCATGAATCTCTTTGTGCAAGACAAATGAGGCAAGCAGAGAAATAGAGAGGATGACGGCGAGAGTGGGTTAGAAGCTGGTTTCCTGTGCACATTCACAAAGTGATGATCAAAAGAACAATGTCAATTCGGATTACAAGTCTCCGGTGGCAACATTTACAGGGCTTTGTCTTTTATACTCTTCCACATTTATGTACACACCTTGCATATAAATAAACAAAGCATTGCTTATCTACTTCAAGATGGAACTGAGCCCAATGCAGTAAGTAATAAGCATTTAAAAGATTACCAGGGAAAATTCTAGGTCTTCTACTGGATTCCTAACACTGCTGATGTTGCTAGCACAGAAATCATGCTCTATTAGTTAAGGCCCTCGCCCCAGATAGAGTTCTACACCGTTTTACACTTAGGCGTGGACAAAAGCCACTCTCCACATTTTAGGGCAGAGCTGTGCGGTGACCATGCTGCTGGGATAAACCAGAGTATACGGTTGCTAGGATGCACAGTGCAGAATTCAGCTTCCAACTGAGACAGAGTAATAGGATTTGCCATTCCACCTGAAACACCAAAGAATGGACAAGATCTATGAAACCACAGGTTTTAGGACATGAAAATTCAGGCAGCCAAGGACACTGATTCCAGAGATGAGAAGCAAACCAGGTGAGTGCTAGCACTGCCAGCTTTCTGTTTTCAAAGCTGCTAGGCCAGAAGCCCAAGCAAGGTGGGAACCCTAAAGCAAAGCACTCACTGTATTGAGGGAACGGGGCTGAGAATCAGGCAGAGCAAGGGGTACAGAGCGTGCAGATCTGTGTACCTGAGAGAAGACAGTGACTCCAACACGGACTCAGAATTCTGCACCGGATTCTTATCAAGTGTTTGCCTGTGTACTGATCTGGTGTCGGTGTAAAAGTAACTGCCCAAGACCTGGAAAGAAGGCACTCGCAAGGCGAGGCGTGCTGGGTGCTCACAGCAGACCCCCTGTTCCCACCGGACTGGAACCTCGGCATACACAAGGCTTTGCGGAGAGAACACAGGTGTTTTTGCTTCCGTAGTCCCTGGTCTCGCTTAATACAAGTGAGTCTCAAAGCTCCAACTAATCCTAAATAACATATTCATCCCCGATAAAAGCTCCCAACTGTTTACAGGAGTGTTTATATGAAATTATTCAGCCACTTATAAGATAAAGTAAGTTTGGCATCCAGTTAATGATTACCAGGAAAATACGTAAGAAAAAATACTGTGGAAAATCAATCCATCAATCAAAATTGAACTAGAAAAGACATAGACATGACATATAAGGACAAAAAAACAGGTATTCCATGCTGGAACTAGTCTGCCTCCCTGCTAAGCAATAGTGAGCCTACTGGTGCGCGGGCTGAGAGTCAATCATCCCTCTTCCCCTATCCCCTTTCTCCTGCCCCAACCCCCGTTAGCAAATGGGAATCAGAGATCTGAGCATCTCTTGGGAGGCTGATAGAAAATAAGGGGGATTTCCTTCTACCATCTCTTTGAAGGCAAAAAATTTTTACTACTGTTTTGCTTTATTCTTATTAATGGTACTGCTCTATTCAATATTCTGTTTTGATAAGTTCTATAATATTCTGTACTTCATTTTAGTTTGATATATGTGATTGAAAGAGCAACTATTATGATGATAACAAAATATACTGTGATTCCTATTGCTGTTATCCCGGTAACCTGCTGTGAAGTTCTGTACCAATTTCACTATACTGTATCAATTGGTTTTGTTCTGTCTTGTTCTGTTGTATTTTACTACCTTCAAAATAAAAATTTAAAAAAAAAGTATGAAGGCACACACACACAAAAAGGTACATAACAACTACACTGAGACATACGACAGGTTTAGCACCTCTAATTCAAACATCCAAAATCCAAAATGCTCTAAAATCCAAAATCCAAAATGCTCTAAATCCACAGCTCTAACATGCTGTTCAAAATGTTTCAGATTTTGGAGAACCCTGAATTTCAGTTTTTCAGATAAGAGATGGTTAACTGGTAAAAATCTACAAAAATATTACAAATTTCAAAAAAATCCACAATTGGAGACACTCAATTATTAAACTGCTCAAAATCAGGAATCAAGAAGGAAAAATCAGGAAAAACCTTAAAAGTAGCAAGGCGGTCAAAGGGACAGACAGCAGGAGATGGGACAGCCAATCTCCTCGGCAGCAGTGTGAGGGACAAGATGAGGAGAGGGTTTCTTCTAAGCACTCAAAAGAAACACTGGCACCTGCACTTCTACATTCTGCAAAAAATAAAATAAAGTATGTTACAAAAATGAAGGCAGAATAATGCTTTTCTCAGGTATATAAAGCTGAACTAAGTTGTTACCAACACACACACATACACACGCACACACACACACACACACACACACACTCCAAAGGAAGTTTGCCAGGGGAGCCAGGGGAGTTCAATGGTCCAGCACATGCTCAACTTGTGTGAGCCCCTGGATTCAATCCCCAGGACCCAAAAAGTAAAAACATAAAACAGTGATGCCTGTCTTTGGGACTGGGGGTATAGCCCAGTGATAGGGCAAGTGCACAAGGCCCTGGGTTTGAGCCCCAGAACCACCAAAAAAAAAAATAGGTGTTAGGTAGAGAAAACACAGAACTACCCAAAGGACACAGAAAGTGGTACCGACACGAGCAGACATGTAAAACCCATTTTTTCTTTCCTCTAGAAGACTTGAATCGGACCTATAAGTGCAATGGCTCAACTCAGAGCATCGCATGTGACAGCCACACAGCCTACATCCCCGCCCAAGATTCTTTCTATTTATGTAAGCCCCTAAAAGACACCTGACTGTTTAAATAAAACAACAAAGTAGTAAAGGGTTTGTAACACATGTAAACTAAAACGTATAATAAAAACTGCATAGTTTAGAAGGGAGAGTGGAGGTACACACCACTGTAAGGCTGTTCTAGTGTATATATAAAGTGATACATGACAGGCAATGTATCCTTTATCCTAAGTGTTTGGGAGCAGCAATGTTCTGGACTCAGGTTTGCTTTTTGATTTGAGAGTATTTCCTCATAGGCACACCTTGAGGACAAGAGCCACGGGTAAACAGCAAATTCATGGGCACTTACAGCCTGGACCATAATGTTATGGAACTTTTTGAGAGCACCTACATCTCCACTTCGCCCCATCAGGTGAGGGGAGCTGTGAATTTTTCATGGTTTGGTCACACTGGTGCTCACAAAAGTTTGTGATTTGGGATTTTGGATTTTTAGATTTGGACTGCTAACCCTTTACCACTCAAAGACGTTCTATGATATGACAAATTGATGTAAAATAAAACCTCAATCAATGTTACATAACAAAGGTGTTAGAGTTAACAAGATAACAAAGGTCTAAAATAGAATCATAAGAAAAAATCCAATTGATTTTTAAAAAGAAAAAATAACAAATTGAAGAACAGAACAGGCAGAAAATAAACAGCATGATAGATTCAATTCTATCATAAAATAACCTTAATATAGTCTCAATTAAAAGGGAAATTATACATAAATATCGGGCTACATCCTCTACCAAACTGATGGTTCCTGGGAGGAGATTCTGGTCCAGAACTGTTGCATAAAAAACCCCTCAAAAATACAGGGGTGTTGTTGGTCTTCTGATTCCCAACGCGCTCCACTCGTTCTCCTACTCAGCTCCAACCTCCTAAATAAAATATGACCCCAACGCTTCCGATGTGACCCCTCCCACTCAACACACTCCTAATTAGCTTGGTCCTGTGTCATATAAACAACTTCTTCCACGTCACAGCTTTGCTTTAATAAACAGCGACCGGTAAGGAGTCCGGAATCACCAGCATTTTCTGTGCGCACACTGGAGCCTCACTGACACTGAGAGCAACGGCCCCCAAATCAAGGGAAACGGCAGTGTGAGGTCCAGGCGGCCACCTCGAAAGGACCACAGAGACTGAACCTGCAGGCAGCAGCACCTGCCACTGCAACATGGCTGCTCTGCCAACTCAGGACACTTACACCTGCCTCTCCTCCTCTTCTTGGAAATCCCTAGTGTATGCTTCCTCTCTTAGGCCATTAAATTTGAATGCTGGGGGAAGGGGCACTGGTGGCACAGACCTAAAATCCCAGCACTCTGGGAGGCCGAGGCAGGAGGATTGCAAGTCTGACCCCAGCCTGGGCAACTCTGCAAGACCTGATCTCAGAAGATAAGTAAATAAGAAAAAGGCTGAGGATGTAGCTCAGTGAGTCCAACCACCAATACCACAGAGGAGAGAGAAGAGAAGAGAGGACAGACACACACAGACAGACAGAGACAGGATATATGAACGGATGGAGGGGGGGGGCAAGAGCAAGGAGCCCCCAGTGTGAAAGCGCAGGGCGGGAGCCGCAATGCTGGGCTTCTCACCTTGCTTAGTCAGGGCCTCTCGGAGAGCAGGAGTTATCATGGCTCTGCCCTCGCCACCATCACTCTCCCCTGGGTTCCTGGACAAACCAGTCTTCTCTTCCTGACGATCCTTTTCTCTCTGCATTAAAATAAGCATGAAACCCGAAACTGTTACTGTGTAATGACTATGACACCCCCACACTCAAGCACACCCAGCACAAACACGAAGGACACCTGTGGGCCCTGGCCTAAGTCACAGTTCTAAGTGAGCAGTGATGACTTTTCAGAGAAACAATACAATGAAACACGCAGTCCCACAAAACATAAATCAACAATTCCCTCTCAGGGGGCAAACGTTTTTAACAATCTGAGCATAGACAGCTGTCTAACTTGGGCAGATTTACTTATTTTCTCTGAATTTTCATTTCCTTATCTGAAAAGGGAACAAAATGAAAGCGTCCCCAGAGCAGGAATGTGTTGAAAATGAAATGAAATTAATTCACCTGGCACAGTAACTGACGCAATAATACAGGCTCAGTACGTGCCGGTACTCCTGGGAATCGCTCCCCGAGACGCTGCTCAGGGCTGCCAGTGGCCGCCTTCTCAGACCACGCTCCCCCGTCAGCGCCACCCCATCGATGGCCCTTCCAGCTGAGGCCCACACCGCTTACTCCCGGCACTTGGGGGGCTGCAGCAGAAGACTGCAAATTCAAGCCCTGCTTGGGCAATTTAGCACTTTAACAAGACTTTGTCTCTAATAAAAATTTAAAAATAAAGTTGGGCATGTGGCCCAATGTGAAGGTCTTAGGTTCAGTCTATTCTTTAAAAAAAAAAAATCCCACAGAGGAAATTTCTCTCCAGTCAAAGTAAAAATACGTCTAAGAAATCCAGATACTTGACACACATCAACTGTATTTACTTTGGACTTTGGCACAGAATTCACCAGCACAGTTCCACTCTGCATGATGCTTGTCTTTTAATTGCTCTGTGTGGCTTCAGTACAAGGTGATCCTCACTCGCTCCTTCCATGATTTCCTCCTCTCTTTTCCAACATTTACACTCCCTCGACATCTTCACGCCATACAGTACACAATCTCAGAAACAACCGCAAGGTTTGTGTTACACCTGCGAGGAGACACTCACCAAATCCTCAGAACGGCCCAGGTCCAAACTAACACGCTTTGGCAGGTGCCCCACCCCCCAGCCCCAGCGATCCTGGGGCAGCACTGGGGCTTGAACCCAGGCCTTCACACTGAGCTGGTCCTTTCAGGGTTTGTTTTTTTTTCTTTTTATGTTGAGACAGGGTCTCACTAAGTCACTAAATGGCTCAAGTTTGTGATACACTGTCTCAGCCTCCTGGAGGGCTGGGATTACAGGCGTGCTCGGTCACATCCGGTTTGGCCCATGTTAAGTGTCCAGGCATCCAGAAGGGAGGCAGGAAAGCTGGCCAGGGAGCATGGCCAAGGGCTAAGGACGGGGCCCTAAGAGTGGGCCATTCACAGCGGTACTCAGCAGTCACGCTGACCACCTTGGTGCCCGTGCTAAGTCACAGGAAAGGCAAGATGAGAGAGAGCACTGAAAACAGCACACGCACAGAATGCCAAGCAATGAAATCTGGGGTTCATTTCTCTATCTTCTGTTAGTTCCAGGACAGTCTCTGAAATAAAGTCAATAAAACAGCACTTAGAGAATCGAAGGCACCAAATGAGAAATGCAAACTCGTATTAAGCTCTATCTGTCCTGGAAGGCAGCACTCCAGATTACTAAATATAATCCAGTGCAAAGCAAATGAGTATTAACAGTCCTTTAAACTATACACGTCCAGATGGAACTGGAAAACTTTACACAGCAATCAACTGTTCTTACTGATTACAAAAATAATCAAATTAGTGCTATGCATTTTCTAGAAATAAAAAGCCTCCAATTTTTGGCTTTTGATGTCTTCCAGTACTGGGGAGTGAACTCAGAGCCTTCCTACTGAACTGCATCCCCAGTCAGACGCAGGGTCTTTACCAAGTCAGTAAGTCACCCAGGCTGGGCTCAAACTTGCCATCCTCCTGTCTCAGCCTCTCAGAGTGCTGGCTGCAGCCATGAGCTACCATGTCAGCTATTTATTACTTTACTAAAATGCTTTAAAATAGAAATGCTGTGGCTTTGTAAAAACCATCTATTGCAGCCCTAGGAGCAAAGGTGTGAGCTTGAACAATGGCAGAGGGCCCCAACAGCCTGTGAAGGCGGGGAGCCCAGGCACTGTCCCTCCTCTGCTGACCCCGCAGAGCAGCAGGAGGCCTAGCCTCGGCCCCTGAGCCTCCGGCACCATGAGCCCTCACCGGTTCTTTCTCACCCCGCAGGTCACATACATCCCAAACCAGAGCCCCCAACACCAGCCCTGCCCACAGTGCCCAGAGCCTCACAATCCCTCTTGTGGGTGACCCAGAGGCTCAGACGCCAGGGAAATGAACGCACTTGGCCCAGGGCCGCTGCCGGGGTGTGACCTGCTGTACAGTGTGAGCGCTGCCAACCCAGATCTGATCAGAGGCCATGTGAAGGCCGGGCGCAGGGGCGCTGGGGACAGTGACACCCATTGCTCTCGCTCCCTCCCGCACAGCACAGGCTGGCTATGTCGCGTGAGCGGCAGGAGCTCGGCTGGCTCCGAAGGCGGATGCCCAAGAAGCTGGGCACACCATTCACACCCAGATCTCATCTCCAGCACAGACCTCCTGCGCTCGGTCCAACCACGTGCGCAGTGCGTGACCCGTACGTACTGTGGTCAGGAGGGGGCAGTCAGTGAAGAACCCAGAGGCAGGCAAGGCCGGCTGGCTGCTCACTGTCCTTCGCGCTCCAGCTCACAGGAGAAGCGGCCTGGGGAGCTGTGCCAGCATCCTCCCCTTCCCCCACTCCCTCCCGGCTCCTCTCCTTTTCCCTCCCCCTCCTCCTCCTCCTCGGAGTCCCTGGCTCCTCTAGAGGAATGATGGCGGCATCAGGCACAGCTCTGTGCCTGTGTCCCGGGAAAGAGAACCCAAGTCCTCTCCAAGCTGCAAAATGAAAGCCAAGGACGAGCACTGAGGACAAGACTGGGAATGCCAGGAGACCTACTGCCCAGGAGGGGGTGCCTGGGCACGGCCTCCGTGGATCCACAGCTCTGCACTGTCCCAGGACTCGATCCCAGCGGCACCCCCAGAACCGCGGGCTATCTGCATCCGCCTGTAACCAACACAGCCGAAACGGTGTTCTGTGAAAGACTTTACAGGAGAAACCTTGCCCAGCTGGGCATCCATCAGAGGCGTTCCCACTGCCAAGCATCTGAGGCTTCGGGGAGCGCCTCGCTGGATCAGCGTTCACCACCAGGTCACTGCCCTCCTATAGGTCAGGCAGGAGGCTCCAGACACAGCATCTCAGCTTCACCAGGCAACCTGCCCAGGCCGGGAGCCAGCCCGGCACAGTGCAGCTACTGAATACCTGAATAAATGTCTCCACACTGGCAGACAGCTACTTCTCAGTCTAGATCTAGTTGTTGATTCTACATCTGGCAACTTTCAGTATTAAAACTCTGTCTTAGCTGGATGTGGTGGCACACATTTGTAATCCAGCACTCAGGAGGCTGAGGCAGGAGGACTGTTTTGAGTTTGAGACCAGCCTGGGCTGCAAAGTGAGTTTACAGCCAGCCCAAAGTGCAAAGTAAGACCCTGTCTCAAAAAGACAAAAATAAATAAATAAATAAAAAGAAACTGTGTGGCCAAGCATAGCGACACACAGCTGTGATCCTAGCTACTCAGGTGGCTGAGGCAGGAGGAGCATCAAGTCCGAAGCCAGTTTGGCCAACATAGCAAGAGCCAATCTCAAAATATAAAAATAAATAAATACATCCCAAAAAAACACCTCTTCTTCATATATAAAGCTGTACCTTAGCCAAAACTCCTGCTACAATTTAATCCCATGTCCTCCGGTTCCCATTTCTTATTAAATTCCTAGCCAAACAGTCATTTACCTTGGCTCAATTCTAAAATGACCAGTTTTCCCCATGCCTCAAAGCTCTGTACATGTACTAGGTTTTAGGGGTGTACTGTCTAAAATGACCAGTTTTCCCCATGCCTCAAAGCTCTGTGCATGTACTAGGTTTTTTATAGAAAAGCAGTCTGGCCAGGTATCAAAAGCTGCACGCTGAAAGAGCAATTCTACTTCCAACATCTGACTTAAGGAAATAACTTCAGAACCCACGGCTACGTGCCCTGGCCGCACAGGGTTGAGGCGGGATGGGTTAAGGGCAGTGTACTGGGTAGCAGGCGTGGCATCTTTTGTTTCTGGGCGCATCAAACACTCAAAAGCCTTAAAGACAGTCACAAAAGTAGCTTCCTCTTACCCCAGTGCAGGACCAGTGTAACTCTAATCAGAACTGGACATGCAGAAAGAGAAAGCAGCAGTGGGCTTTACATTTACAAACCACAACAACGGGAAACACCAGTCAGGTTCCCCCCGATTTCCTAACCGCTCACAACTGCTTTCTGGGGGCCCCTTGCCCCTTGGTGGACAGCACAGGCCAAGGACCCAAGGAGATGGGGTGCCGGCTGGCATCACTTAGCAGCCGCCCCGCCACAGGCACGCTGGCCCCTGCCTGAGCCTCAGTCAGCTTGATGGTGAGACAGCAAAATGGAAACAGTGACAACGCAGACATCTCAAGGCCTGCTGGGACAGAGTGCAACCATTTAATGGACAGTGATTTCTGCTACCATCGTACATTAGGCCTGGACTGGACTGTCCTGTCCCCACACTGAAAGCCCAAAGCTTTCCACTGAGGCAAACCCCACTGCCTCCCAACGCATGCAAGATGGAGCGCAGACCTCCTAGCCTGTGGAAGGCTCAGACCCTGCCTCTTTTCCTTTCTGTCCCCTCTCCAAGCACCCCGCCCTCCCTGCTCCCTCCTCCTCAGCCTGCCACATCCTATGCCCGCCTCCCGAACTCCCCAGGGTTCCAAACTTTAATCTCTGGGTCCTGGAAACTGTTCTTCTCCTTCCAATTCTCTGCAGGCCTGGCGCCACAGTCTCAGACATTCTCAGACAGAGGAAGACAGAATGCTCCACGGGGCCTCGGCCACAGCAAACCTACCCGCTTGAGGACATCTGCGTATTAATACGGTACCGAGTTGTCACACACACACACACACACACACACACACACACACACTGTGTGGATGGATTCTTTCATTTACCCCTCATAACAACTTTACAAGGCAGACACTGTTACTGCCCACATTACAAATGAGAAAAGGAAAGCGCAGAGGTGTGAAGTGGCTTGCCCAGATACACAAGCCGAGGTGGGAAGGCCCACGGGTCAGTAGCATTCAGAGAGGCCGTGCAGAGAGTGCGCCAGCCCAGCTGCCAAGCCCACGCTCCTCAGCAGGAGCAGCTCCCCCCACTGCAGTAGCAAGCCAGACCCTTTCGTGCGGCTGGGGGTGGGGGTATTTGTGGGGTAACTACACAGAAGGCGGTTTGAGAATGTCTATGAAATGGCACCCCCCAAAATGAAAAAATGACAAAAAGAAAGGAGAAAAAGAAAACCCAGGCAGTAAAACCTTTCATCACGAGCTAAGTATGCCATAGCACATCTGTAATCCTAGTGCTCTGGGAGGCCGAGGTAGGGGGGATTGCAAGTTCAAGCCCAGCCCGTGCAGTTCAGCAACTTAGTAAGACCCTGTTTCAATTTTTTTTTTTCCTTTTTATCTGTACCGGGGATCGAACTCACGACTGCCTGCTTGCAAGGCAGGCGCTTATGCCGCTGAGCTAAATCCCTAGCCCCAGACCCTGTTTCAATTTTTAAAAGAGTATGCTTTCATGTGAAGACCCTGGGTTCAATCCCTAATATAAACAAAAAAAAAAAAAAAAAAAAATCCACACTTCCATCAAAGTTTAGTATTTCAAATAGGAAATGAAAAAACACGTATTTGAAAACCTGCTGCAAGCTAACAATGATGAAAAACCAAAACTGGTAGCTTATTTCCAAGTCCTTCTAAAGTTAGAAAAAAACACTTATCATCCTCTATATTGGATGGTGTTTTGTTTTGTTGTTTTGGTACCAGGAACTGAACCCAAGACCTCACGCTTCCCAGGCAGTGCTGTGTCACTGAGCTATATCTTAGCCCTGAAGGTTTTTAATAGGAAGCTGATGTATCAGAAGTGGCTGCTTAAAGCTCATAAAGCCCATTTCATTTCAAAAAGACTTGGATGGCCAAAATTGTCATTAGTGCTTTCTCTAGTGCCCTCTAATGGCTATGAGATGAAAAAGCAAAGAAAAAATGCACTTGAGACTTCCCCCAACTCCTCCCTCTACACACCTAGCAAAGCTGTTGTAAGTTAAACTGAGGCTGGTAGAGAGCCAGACACCTATCTAAATCAGCTGCTCACGCACCACTTTAACACAGCTACAGTAACGAAAGTTGCAGTACTAGCGTTTTTCATTAAGAGCCATAAAATTACCCTCATTTTGACAATTTTATCAATTAAAAAAAATAGCCAGACGTGGTGATGCACACCTGTAATCCCAGCACTGGAGAGGCTGAGGCAGGAGGACTGCTACAATTCAAAGCCAGCCTGGACTCCACAGGGAGTTCAAGGGTAGCCATAGCAAGACCCTGTCTCACAGACCAAACAAACAAAAAAAGTATAACCTAAGAAAATATTCACGCTTGTAAAAAGTAAAAAAAGGTCTCAGACAAGAGCTAATTATAACATCAGAAAACACACTAAATGACCAGCTCCATTGCCGATGCAAATTTACTCTCATTCCAGTGCCTGTCAGGCTTCTAGAGATTATGAAACATTTTCACACAGCGACAACTCTTCCAGGGCACCTGAGGTCCCAGTCCCAAGCTCTGAGACAAGGGCCAAGCCCAGGGAAGGGAAGCATGACTCCAGGGACACACAGCTACAAACCGGCTGCCCAGTCCTTGAACTCACTTCCCACATACTCATCTTTCTTTCTATAAAACTTTTTCTTTTTTTAGGAGGAGGACGTGCTATGTTACCCAAGCTGGTCTCAAACTCTTGGGTTTGAGAGGCAATCCTCTTGCCTCAGTTTCCCCAGTGCTGAGATTTGTCATTCTTAACAGTTCCTCTTCCAGGACTTCTAAAATACAAAACTAGAGTACTAAAAAATTACACAGACAATATCAACCCATGAGAGAAATAGGAAATAAGTTTTTTAAAATGCTAAAACAAAGACAGTAATTTTAAATTCAGAAAAAAAACTTCCAGATATTGTGACAGGTAAAGAGGACTGTTAACCTGATTGGCTTGGGATCCACCCAAGGAACTAAGAAAGCACATTCCTGGAGAGACGGAGGGCGAAGGTCAGGACCTCAGAGTCTCTATCTGGTCCCTGGCCCCTCCTCTCTGGCACTGTCCCCTGCCCTGCTTCCCAGCTGCCAGGAACTAAGCAGCTTTGCTGCACCAGGCCCTTCTGCCAGGACATTCCTGTCCTGCAGCCAGCCAACATGGACTGAATCTCCTGAAAACATGGACCAAATTAAACTTCGCTTCCTTTAGAGCGTGGGTGTTGGGTGCTGTATCTCAGCAAGCAGCAAGCTGACCAATACAGGTATTAAAGCATTTCATATCAAATGGTTTTTTTTAGTTACAGGCTTTACAAAAGAACCCCAGCAATCTAATATAAAGATGAATGCAGGCCAGTGCACAGTAGAGATGGCTGGCCTTTGTCCTTAACACTGCAGAAACTCCAAATGATGGAGTACCTTTGTTACGGACAGTGGGCCCCATGGACCACACCTGGCTACGCATGTCAGTAAGTTGTCTCCCAGAAGAGCCCGAGGGTGGCATCAGCCCAGACTTAAGGAGCAGCTGCTCAAGACTGGGTGTCGAAACATGGTCAGCAGCATCCAGGCAAAGGAGCCCAGTGCAGACTGGATGCTGAAGTGCGGGCAAGCTCCCCAGGTTCCCCAGGCCGGCAGGACTCTGCAAATCAGCATAGGTCAGTCAATGCCGGGAAGCTCCTGAGTCCTGAGGACAACGGAACCTTCCAGACTCTGCCATGTACACACTACCTCTGGCTGGCTTTGTGTATCTTCCCTACAATGACTCTCACCCTGAGTGTAACAGTTTTGGGTTCCAACAAATTATCAAACCTCAGGGTGTTTCAAGCACCCTACCAAAGTTGCAGTGGTGTCAAGGTGACAGCAGTCTTGGGGACTGTGTAGGGGCCTTATAGCTTCTCCAACTCCAGGAAGATGGCAGGAGGAGTCAACAAAAGGGAGGTGAACAGGAAACATATTCAAATTCAAGCTAAATTAAAGACATGCAAATTTAAATGTGGACACTATTTTTTTACCTGTCAGATTGGCACTTAAAAGGTTCCCAATACTAAGGAGTAGAGAAATAGTTATTCTCACCTCTCTTGTATGCTACAAGCAGAAGTAACACATTTTCAGCTTTTTACAGGGCAATTTAAAAATATCAAAACCACAAAATTCCCTTTGACTGAAAAATTTCATTTGTAGGAATTTATTCTTCTGATAAATTTATACCAGTCACAATGAAATAGGCAAGAGGGGCCTTGGATTTGGCTCAGAGGTATAAGTGCCTGCCTGACAATTGTGAGGTCATAAGTTTGATCCTCAGTACCAAAAAATGCAATAAAATAAAATAATCAAGAGTGTTCATTACAGAAATTAGAAGCTGGGCATAGTGGTGCAAACCTGTAACTCCAGCACTTGGAAAGCTGAGGCAGGAGGATCACTACAAGTTCAAGACCAGCCTGGGCTACAAAGTGAGTTCAAGACCAACCTGAATACATACATCGTGAGACCCCGCCTCAACACAACAGGAGGAGGAGGAAGAAGGGGAGGAAGAAAAAGAAACACCTAAATGTTAACCAACAGATACCAAATCCATATTCCACATAAGTCTAGACAACTTAAACCTTAAAATGAATTCCTCTTTGACGACAGGAATAAAAAGCTAAAATACTCGAAAACTGGGTTACACACAGGAAAATTACCATGACACAGTGAGAGACCACTGTGGGAACAAAGAATAAACTAACTCCTGCACCTCTGACATGTTACTCAGCTAGAGTCCGATTTGTTTTCTCCTCAAGCAGGCAGGGACTTTTCTTTAAAAAAGTATCTTTTGCCAAAGACTATAACTCTTCGCTTGGGCCTACAGAGGCCCAACCAGCAACTAAAAGCAGAACAAGGCTTGACCTCCTCTTGGTAAACCCAGACCAGACCCCCACACCTCCCAGTCTTCCAGGCCAGCCCTGGCCCTACACCAATAGGAGGCAAAGGGACACCAGTCAATGGAATCTTCACGAAAATAAATCCCACCACGCGGCAGCTTCACACAGCCCTCGACAGCCATCTACCCTGTCCTGGGCCTAAAATCGCTTTTCCTCTTAAGAGTCTCTTGTCACAGCACTGAGAAGGAAGAGTTTCACAAAGCTTATGTCAAAATGGAAGAAAAACAAATGAGAAAACTTTCAAGATAGATAAAAGCTAAAGAAATTAAATCTACTGTGAGCTCAGACAGACTCCAATGCAACAGAAAATTAAGTGTTACCCAAAACAATAGTACCTTTTCCTTCTTCACGTGATTCATTATTTTGCCAAGATCCTCGACATCAACAACAGCATTTAGGCTCGGATGGTCGCCAGGCCCCAACTCCTCCTCACCGGAGCTCTCGCAGGCCTCTTCCTCCTGAAAAGAGATGCTTGAGAACATTTAGGGGCAAGGGCAAATCTCTCACACCCCTCCCACGCCAAGCCTGCTGCTTTTACATTTTTAATTCAGAGCCAAGCATACTTATAAAGTACACTGTCCTAAGAACAGAGTGTAAGACCTCACACCTGTGACCCTAGCTCTCTGGCGGGCTGAAGCAGCAGGACTGCAAGTTCAAGCCCAACCTGGGGAATTCAGTAACTAAGTCTCAAGATACAAACATAAAATGAAGGGCCTCGGGCTAGATCCCCAGTATGACCAAAAAATAATCTTTTAATAAAAATAATTATCCTTTAATTAAAAAACCAAAAATAATAATTCTCTTTTAATTAAAAAAAAACACAACACCATCTTGGATCTTCAGCATCTTAGATCTTTGTCCTCAGACTAGTCACTGTGAAAGGGCATTCAGAGAGAGAACGGTTAATACCTTACCTGCCCAGGGTGCAGGAAGATGACATGGAGGAGAAAGGAGTAGAAGAAACCATGGAATGACAGTGTGGCTCAGTGGTAGAACATCTGTCTAGCATGTGTATAGCCCTGGGTTTGACCCTCAGCAACAGAGGAAAGGAGGGAGGGAGGGAGGGAGGGAGGCTGAGCCAGCAGGATCACCATGAGTTCGAGGTCAGCCTGAACTACATAGTGAAACCTTGTCTCAAAAAAAAAGGAAATAAAATTAGTCAGTGCGTTAGCTCTTCTAGTTCAGTGTTTTGCACCCAGAGTTCTAAACATACACATCTAGCAGGCTCTCCTGACATGTTCATGTTCTTATGACTGTGTTCAAAATCACCACTGCCCACATCCCGTGTTCCTGTCTCACCTCCACCACATTTCAGAATCTGAGCCACAAGCGAGACATCAGGCATCACCAACTGCCCTCTCCGATCCCACCCTAGCCAGAGGTCAGTGAACCTCTGCTGTCAAGGGCCAACAGTAGAATGGGTGTGACAGCAAAGGCCTGCAATCTCAGCTGCTTAGAAGGCTGAGGCAGGAGGGTCCTGAGCAACTCAGCAAGACCCTGCCTCAAGATGTAAGAGAAAAAAAAAAGACTGGGGGTGTAGCTCAGCACTCCCTGGTTTAATCTGGAGTACTGAAAACAAGAAAAAAATTTTTTTATTTCAAAAAGGAGTCAAGGGGCTGAGGATGGTACTCAGTGGCACAGCACCAGCCTGGCAAGCACAAAGTCCTGAGTTCAATACCCGGTAACAAGCCTAAATAAAGGAGTCAAGCAGTAAATAGTTCTAACCCAGCAGAACACATAATCCTTGTCTGAACCATGCAGCAATGTCACTCAACACAAAAGCAGCTCTGACAAGATATAACTGGGTGGACGTGGCTAAGTTCCTCAAATCTTCACTTAAAAACAACAGACAGCAGCCTGGACCTGGCCAGCGAGCCGCCTGCTGTCCCTACCTTTCCTGCGTGCCTTCTTCTTAGAGCCCCAGCGCTCCTCGAAGACACCATGGCGGCAGGAATGTACAGCCCTCAAAGGACCAATTTCATCCTCACGCAAAATCTAATCACAGTGGCCACTAACTCGCCTCCATGACCCTGAGAAAGCTTAGACGTTCTCTTCGATAAACGTCAGAGGACAGTTCATGGCAAGCACTAGGGCTAGAAAATCAATGTGCCACGTTCCCTGCTCCTCAGAAACTCCCCAGCCCAGCAAAAGTAACACACGGAAATGGGAACTATAAAATGGTAAAGCTTTCCTAAAGAGGACTGAAGTGGCTCAGCTCAGAATCCACAAGGGATGAGGAGGTGACACTGAGCCGAGTGTCGCCCTCACGGCAGAAGTCACCCAGGCCAGGGGCAGGAGGCAGGAGCAACTGTGGCCCTCCAGAGACTCTTCCAGAAACCCCTGGGGAGGAAGGCACAGGCCAGGCCCTGGGTCTCAGCCTTCCAGGGAGACAGAGGAGGGCAGCAGAGATCTGCCCTGCAGTGGCTCACTCCCTGGCAATGCAGCGAGCAGGAGGGGACAGCCATGAGCAACTCCGTGCAACACTTGAAGGGAGGGGCGGGGGGCGGGGAAGATGCTAGTCCGGCCGAAGAGTGTCAGACTGCATGTTCCAAGTCATTTCTCACTCGACAAAGATTTCCGCACTAAGGAAGCCAGTGTGGCTACGGCCTAGTAAGGCGAGACAGGACAGCAAGGGAGGGGGAAAACGGATGCTAAGAAATGCAGCTTCCAGTACACAGCAGCAGGAAATCGCCGAGGCTTCTGACGTGTGCTTTTAAGGCTGCTGTGAATGTTGGGATGAGAACAAAAGGGAAGGGGACAACAGGGCAGACCAGATGCAAGGTAGCTACAGCAACCACGCCCAGAAACACAGCCTGCACTTGCAGGTGAGCTGACGGAGGCCAGTGGTGAGCAGAGGACGGTCCTCAGCCTAACCCAGCCAGCCGCAGCAGAATCGCAGCTCAAGCCTGGGCAGACGCACTGCCTGCAGCAGCTGTTGATCCCGTGGCAGAGCTGATGGTTGCACCGGAAACCGTAAGGCTGCAGGTGACTACCAGCCAGGCCTTTAAACACACTTGCTGAACCCTGTTCTAGACAGAAAACCAATCGGCCTTACTGATGCGGTAGGTGCAGGAGTAAGGAAAAGGAAAACCCAGCAAGGGCGTTGAGCTTCCTTTAAAGCAACTGAGATGGAGACAATGTCTGGTGAGAAGGGGAACAGCGGGAGCAAGCGTGCTGGGAGGTGGAAATAAAAAGCTCCATTCAGGACCTTAGATTTACAAGTACGAATTTTAGAGAGGAAATGGCACAATAAAGACAGAATTCAGCTGAGCACGGTGGTGCATGTCTGTAATCCCAGCACTCTGAGAGGCTGAGGTGGAAGGATCACAAGTTCAAACCCAGTCCGGGTAACTTAAGGACTTGGGAAGACCTGTCTTTAAACAGGGCTGGGGACACTGCTCAGTGTGAAGACCTTGGGTTCCACCCCCGGATCAGGGGAAAGAAAAGAGTTAACTGACTTCCGTTACCATCTACATAGCAGGTTCACATTTCAGACAACTGTCCTGTGGCCAACAACGAAAGTGAATGACATATTTTAAAAACTCATTTTGAATGCATCCCTGAGCTGACAAAAATATGTAGAATTCAAAGAGCCTGAACACAAACCAAGAAGGGAATCCCAGGCGATGAGACAGAGCTGGCAGTCAGCTAACTCAGGGGACACTTTCCTGACAGCTGCCTGGGTCACAGGGAGGAGAAGGGACAAGGACATGCCACAAGCAGCAGAGGTTAAGGGAAGTCAGGCCCAAAACTGAGTAGAAAAAACTAAGAAGAAAAAAAGCACAAGAACAAATCTTTCAGGGGAAGAATCTCATTCCCAGAATTAATCATCGTAACATTCAAATTCTCCACTCTTCAACAAGAAATCATGAAATATGTGACAAAACCTGAAGTACGGCCGTTCACAGGTGACACCTCGACCGTCTGCTCTGGATTGAGGGTGCATGCCAGAAACCAAGACCCTGGAGCCGGGAGGAGCGGCTTCTAGGGGGTGCCCAGGCCCTGAGGGCAGAGGCAGCGGGAGGCCCTCCCTGGGCACCAGCCACCAGCCACCAGCCTGGGCCTGGACTTCTGGCCTCCAGGGTAGAAAGGAGGACCAATTCCAGTTCTCAGTAAATTAGTCAGTCTTTACAGCCACACAAAACAGGCCAAAACATGGACCTGAGGGAGCACAGACCTTGGATTATACCTGACAAAGACAAACAAATAAAGCAAATTGAGGGAACTTGATAGGTGGTTGCACAAAATTATGATCATGCTAAACACCACTGGGCTATGTACTTTCAAATGGTTAATTTTATGTTATGTAAATTTACTTCAAATTGCAACGCGTGGTGGTGGTGCACACCTGTAACCCCAGCACTTAGGCTGAGGCAGGAGGATCGCTGAGAACTCAAGGCCAGCCTGAACTACATAGTGAGATCCTGTCTCAAAACAAACAAAGAAAACAGTTTTCTAGGCTGGCTAGAAAAAAAAAGCAGACAAATGGATCTGCTACTAAACATGTAGAACAAAGGTTAGATTTGTTACTCCTTTTTTGTTTGTTCCAGCACAAGTGATTCTACTTTATCTATGTATGAGTACAACCCAGCAGGCAGGAAGCCATGATGGGACAGAAAAGAGAGCGGCAATCCAGGCCTGACTCCAGAGCTGGGCAGGCAGGACCCGGACGGCTGGTCTTGAGCCCGGGAGGGGGTGGTTAGAGAAGGTGCCACACTATAAGAGCGGCCCTGGGGGGCTGCAAACAGATGCGGACAAAAGGGAGACAGACAGGGAGTGCTGAGGCGCAGGAGCTCGGCGGACCCGCTGCTTTCCGTCCAGGTGACTCGTGGGACCAGTCAGGCCAGAGCAATGTGACCTGGGGACTAACAGGCTATGCCTGGCCGGGGCCTATTCAGCATCTCTCAGGTTCCCTTTCCTACCTGAGAAATGTGGCAAACACTGGGAGTCTAGCAACAAGCAGTTAAAGAAGACACAAGGGACAGCGGCTCAGCTCTCTGGGCACCCGCACTCACTGGGGAGGAGTATGGAGGAAGGACACACCTGAGTGTCTGCAGGCCAAGGTCCATCTCGGCAGGCTGGCCCCGGCTCCGGCTCCGGCTCCTGCTCCTGCTCCTGCTCCTCCGAGTCCTGCAGCCTGGAGTCGCACTTGCCTCTCTTGCAATGGCCACCACAGGACTTGTCCTCTCCTTTCCGAAGCACCTGCAGCCGGGCGATGAACTTGGCCTTCCAGGCCATGAAGTCGGCTTCAATGCTGCCATGCTTGCTTCGGACCACATCACAGTCGCCCTCCCCTCGGGCCAGCACGCGACGGGCCCCGAGCATCCACAGCCACTTGTCCACGCGTTTACCAACCTTCAAGAGAAACAGATGGGCGAGCCCAGAGTCATGACCCTGAAATCAGGACTGAGATGGCCCTGGGCGAGCCCAGAGGGGTTCTGGGGCCAAGTCTGGCGGGACTCCTGAGGCACAGAAGGGCTGCGTCTCCCACATCCCAGCTCTCTGCACAAGGGTTATATTTTTAGCAAACAGGCAGACAGACTCTTTAAGCAGACGCAGGGTTAATAATAAAAACAACTAGTGCTCTAAACCACAGTCAGAACAAAATACCTATTAAAGAGATAAACTGGCTCCAAAAATTTAACAAAACCTATGGGACCAAAGCCTCCTTAGTACTAAGTACATAAGCAATCAGCTGGGCCAGACCTAGGATTTCGTAAACTCAAGCATGCATTTCACTGCAAGGCAGCGATTAGCATGAGGGACAGACTTTGGCAGGAACTGGACTCTGGAGGGCAAACGTCACGGGCTTCCTGAGTGGCGGCTGCATTTTCCCATTCTTAGTCTATTTCATTTGAAAATATGACGGGAAATCTGCACTGTGATATGACAATCACATGAAGTCAGATTACAGACAGGTGAGCCTGGCAGTCCCCTCTTCAGGAGCCTATGCACACACACAAAACTTCTGGTGACCTTGTAGAACCACTTTTAAAGTATAGAGAACAGGACACAAAAGAAAGGGAACCAAGTTCATTTCATTTAAAAAGAACCCTAGAAAACAAACAAAAATAAAGTTCTATCACATAAGGAACAGGAATGAAATCTCCTCTATTCTCCTCTAACAGTAAGGACTTAAAGAAAATGAGTTCATCTGTGTTAAGACTTAGCTTGGGCCAGGTGTCACCATGCACACCTGTCATCTCAGCACTCGGAGGCTGAGACAAGAGGATCACAAGTTTGACTCCAGCCTGGGTTAACTAACAATTCAGCAAGACCCTGTCTCAAAAAAACAACAAAGGGTGAGACAAATCCTGGAAACAGCCCAAATGCCCATCAACTGGCGAATGGACAAACAAGATGTGGTCTTTTTTAGGGTTTTTTTTTTTTTTACTGTTTTTTTGGTACCAGGAATAGAACTCATGACCTTGCCCTTCCCAGGCAGGCACTGTGCAGCTAAGCTACATCCCCAGGCCCCAAGATGTGGTTTTGTTATACACTAGAGTATTACTCCACCAAAAAAGGATAAGCTTGAGACATTTCTAGCTAAATGGGTGCACCCTGCAATCACACTCTTCAGTGGAATAAATCAGACACACATGTAAATACCACATTGTTTCTCTGGTGTGAGAAATTGCAAGTGTAAATAAGAACAAAAATGTACAACAGATACTGTGAAATGGGAAGAAAATGTTCAAATGGGGAAGAGAGAGGAGTAAAGGAAGGAAGGAAAAAGGAAAAAAAATGAGAAAAAAAGGGAAAAAAAACTAAGGGCTAGGATGTAGCTCAGGGCGAGGGCCCTGAAAAAAAGAGTTCAGGTAGGAAAGGTTATTTTAAGAAAGAACAGGCAGTTGACAAGCCCAAAGACTCGGGTGATTCCCATCCGCAGGGTCCTCCTTGGCAGCAGGCTGGACTTGATCACCAAGTCTACCATTGAGTCACAAGAAGATGTGCACTGTATTCGCTGTATCCAACAGCGTCATCCTGAGCACCCGCCATACATCAAGCTTGGACAGGTAGCAGGCGGCAGCTTTGGAGTAACAAAAGAGTCGGGCATGGTAGTACATGTCTGTAATCGTAGCCTCTGGGAGGCTGAGGCAGGAAGATCGCAAGTTGAAGCCCAGCCTGAACTACTTAGTGATTTATGGAACCCCTGTTTTAAAATTTAAAATTTAAAAGGGACAGGAATGTAACTCAGTGCAGAGGCCCTGGGTTCAATCCCCAGTACAACAGAAATAAAGAATAAGCCAAGGAATTTGTTATAAACTAAGAAAGTTTGTAGATTTCAAACACATGAGCATGTTTGTATTTTGGGCTTTTAAGCTGAAGTAGAATTTATCCCTGGAATTTCACACACACTGACCTTGTTGAAGTGGCTCTGATAGGCTGAGTTTCCCAGGCCAAACACCGCATATCGCACACCCTTCAGGTAGTTTCTGCCGAATCGAAAGTCACTGGCTGCATCCTCGAGCCACCTGCAGAACCACTCCGCGCTCTCAGGTGGCCGCCCGTCCGTGTATGTAGCAACCAGGAAAGCACAGATGTTCTGACTGGAGATCTAAGCGAGACAGTGACCATTTCACAGGGGTATTCAACACACAAATTATCAAGGACACTCAACACATAGATGGCTGTCGTGAAGGAAACAGCCTTCAAAAGCTGCCACTCCTGTCACACCAATCTCTGAAGACACAGGGGAGAAAGCCCGCCCTTCCTCCTACCCATGTGGGCAGTATGATTACTTACTATTAAGTATCAACTTTAGTCAATTAATTTTCAGAAATTATAGTGGAACCTCAGTTCACAAACTCAATTCTCCACCAATGTTTGTGGCAACTCGAACAGGACAAAAACCAAGTCAGATTTCCCGAGGTCAACATCAGACCTAACCACTAAGTTTTATTTCTCGTCCAACTCAGTTTGCAACCAGAATCCTAAAGAGAATGAAGTTCATGAACCAAGGTACCAACGTATTTATAAAGCTGAGCACAGCAGTGCACACCTGTAATCCCAGCACTCCAGGAGGCTGAAGCAGGAGGATCTCAGTTAAAGCCCAGCCTGGACATTGTCTCAAAATTTTAAAAAAGGGGCGGGGGACAGGGAGACCTGGGGATTTAGCTCAGGGTGAAGGCTCTACATTCAATCCCTAGTACTGGGAAAAAATAAACATATGTATACACATACAGACATTATTTATAGCTCATTTAAGCTTGCTCACTTGTACGCCAATCCTTTCTTGGAGGAAGACAGAAATGGACAGAACTTCCGGCCATACATTTATCTGTGGAAGGACTATGGAAGGACTGGCCGACGACAGGCAAACCACAGCTCATGGACAAATCTGCTTTGTTGCCTTACTGCCTGTCTTTGCTTGCTTGTTTGTTTGGGACAGTCTGTGAGCCCGGCTAGCCTGAACTGCCAGGCTCCAGCGACCCTCCCACCTTAGCCTCCTCTTGTGACACACTCTCACCAAGTCATCACATTGCTCAGAACAGGTTCAAACTTGCAATCCTCCTGCCTCAGCTTCCCTGAATACTGGAATTATAGCTGTGTGCCACTGTGCCCAGCTCCACTTTAACCTGTTTAGCAGCCAGGACTCCTGCCCTCAAGGATGGCTTTTGTTCTTTTTTGAGCAAAGTTTCAAGAGAATAGCCACACTCCCTTGTTCTCATCTATGGCGTTTTTGTGCCTTGGTCACAGCTACGTGGCCCAGAAAACTAAAGATATTTACTATCTGGCCCTTTAAGAAAAAACTTTAGACTCCCCAAATAATTGTTTCACCAACATTTACATCAGAATCACATGAAGCATTTGTTACAAACAAGCCCCACAGCCAGGTATGGTGGCACACACCTGTAATTCCAGCACCCTGGAAGGCTGAGGCAGGAAGAACACAAATACATGCTCAGCCTGGGCAACTTAGTGAGACCCCAAATGAAAAGCTAAAAAGGGCTGGGGAGCCAGGTGTGCTGGCTCACACCTGTAATCCTAGGACTTGGGAGGCTGAAGCATGAGGGTCGTTGCAAGTTGAGGCCAGCCCAGGCTACAAAGTGAGCTGAAGGCCAGCCTAAACTGCATAGCAAGATGCTGTCATTAAAAAAAAAAAAAGAAGAAAGAAAAATTATAAATAAAAATAAGTAAATAAAAAGGGCTGGGGATGTAGCTCAGTGTGAGGGCCCTAGGTCAGTCCCCAGTACCAGCAAACAAACCACCCAACCCCAGGAGCAGGCACTGATGTCACAGCAGCATTTCTAACACGCTGGCAGAAGCTGCTACTGCTGGTTCAGGGATCACACCCTGAGACCCACTGCTGAAAGGCAAACCTCCTCCCTGGGAATGGTGGCTGAGGAGGGGGGGATGTTTCCCAGGGGAAAATGTAACACCCTCCAGACCCCAACTACTGCACTGAGGTCCCACACTGCAAGATCCCTACCTCCAGAACTCCTTCTGCTCCTGAGCTCTCAGTCCCCCTCCCACCGTCCTCTCCCTCCAAATGAGATTCACAGCACCCACACTCCCCGCGCTACCGCACCCCAGGGCAGCGGGCCAGGCTCACAGACTTGGTGTGACAGGCCACTCATTCAGCACTTCTCATTCAGCCCTCGATCTAACCCGCAGAGATCCCTGTGTGTGGAAATTAAATTCATTCTCAATATTCTATTTATTCCAGAAGTCAGTAGACTGATTAAATTCCAGCCTTAACTCAACAAACAATGAGACAATCACTAACCTCTTCTATCAGATGATCGTCTGGATCGAAGTCTTTCAGATTAATGACTTCCACAGGCAGATCGAGGGAGCTAACTGCTTTCCCAAGAATTGCTGCAAATCCCTAATAAGAAAAAAACAAAGTCAAATGCAGTCTCACTAAACCAAAAGGCCCCCCATCTACTTGTGCTGGGAGGAGAATGCAGCATTCATCGGCAGCACGAGTCAGGACTTGTACTTCCCGCCGTGGACACACATTCTCACTCTCCCCATCTTCCTAAGACACCGGGAAAGACTGAGAATCGTGTCACAGTGTTGGTCACGCTGCGTGACAGGACTCGTGTTACACTGGCTTTGAGCAAGCAGCTGCTCTGCCCCATAGAATAATAAACACACAGCACGGAAAGAGCTGCGCAGAGCCAGGTGAACAAGACAGCAAACAGGACAGGGGGCAGGAGAAGGCGCTCCAGGGAGTCTGGCTGAGAACAAGGGGCCAGAAGGGGTCTGGGGCAGGGATAAAGGCCCAGCAGTGCCAATCTGTACCCGAGTCAAATGCACACAGAAGGTAGCTTCAGGACAGCAGGACACAGCCAGAAATGCGATTCCAGAGGTTCCAACCCTCCCTGGGGAACAAGCCCCTGCACAATAGGGCTAGGGGGCTTGAACATGGGGACACACACAGGGCAGGGAAGAGCCAGCTCTGCCCACTAGGCCCTCCACACCTCACCCTGCACCCGGCCTCCAGCCACCTGCTCCTGGCCTGGCTACTGTAAGAGACGGAGGCAAGCCCCTGGGGTCTGTGGGGTTCTCAGTCTGAGGCAGCAGCACAGAAACTCGGAGTTCCTGGGCAAGCCTCGGTGACTGGCATGGAGGTAGACAGGCCAGGGGACGAGCCTCTGGCTTGTGGAGTGCACAGTAACGCCTGACCGCAGGCACTGGAACCGGAGAGCTGCGAGCAGCCTCAATGATCAAAAAAAAGGCTTGAGCCAAACCCGAAGGTAGTGAGGGGGCAGGCCGTGAGGCAGAGGGGACCCCTGAGTGCAAAGACTCAAAGGAGGGGACCCTGGGCAAGGTGGTCAGTAGGACTGGTAGAGGAGGACCACGGGATGGGTCACATGGAGTGGGGCCCTCGGCCACTGGGAGTGACAAGCCAGGCGGGCTCCAAGCAGGCAGTAAGATCATGTCACTAAGTTGTCAGAGTCACCCAGGTCGCTGAGCTGAAGGCACAGAGGAGCCTGGCCTGGGAGGAGCAGCACCAAAGCCAGACCAGCTGCTGTCCAAGACGACCGCTGTCACCCAGACAGAAGAGGAGGACGGTGCGGAAAGCAGCAGAGAGGAAGGGGAGAGACAGCGAGAACCCGGATTAATCCGAAGCGCGGGACCAGCAGTGTTCACCGACAGACTGGACACAGGCCGCAGGAAAGACGTCCAAGCAATGTTTTGGGCGAGGTGAGTGGAAGGATGAGGATGTCATTTAAGGAAATGATAAAGACTAAATGGTTTGGACAAAAAGTGGAAAATATGAGGATACTGATTTTCACACGCTTGCTGGACACCCACGCAAAGATCTAAGGCGGGCCAGTGGAACAAGAGGATCAGCACAAACAGGAAACATAACCCTGCAGATGAGCATCAAACACAGCAGTCGGCAAACACAGGCCTGCAGGCCAAACGCAGCCCTCTGTTCTGTGTGCTGGTGTCCTGGATCACAGCCGGGCTGGTTTAGTTTCCTACTGTCTGGCCACTTCTGTAATTACATCAGCAGAACTGAGAGGTCCCGACAAAGATCATATGGCTCAAATACCTAATAGTTGCTACAAAGATCATCCAGCTTACAAAGCCCTTACAGAAAAAGTCTGCTAACCCAAGATCTACTAAGCACCATGTAAAGGCAGATAACATGCTGGGTGTGTGGTGTACACACCTGTAATCCCAGCACTGGAAGGCTAAGGTAGGATTGCTGCAAGTTCGAGGCCAGCCTGGGCTACAAAGCGAGCTCAGTGCCAACCTGAACTGCATAGTGAAATTCAGTAGTAAGATCTCCTAGAGAGTGTTGAAGACTATAACGTGAGCATAGCTATGTAAAGACAACCGTGAGGACTATGCCCCAAGACACGCCTATTTTAAAGGTCAGTGAATGAAAAGACACCAGCAAATGACACTCAGAGACTGACTGACAAGACAGGAATCGTAAGGACAATGCATGAAGAGCTAACTGAAGGGAGTAGCTGAGGAATAAAGGAGGGTCCGGGGGCTAACAGGTCAAGAGAGATAAAAGACTCAGAACAAACCACACAGAAGTCACCAGTGCAGGCGTGGGCACGCGAGCACACTGAAGGGCTCAGGGTACACGAGAGGGGAGATGAGGGACAGCAGGCACAGATACAGCCCTGCATGAGTTCTACTGTAAGTGAACAGAAAACGGGGTCACACAGCACACGTGCTGTGACCCTGCCTGCCCAGGGCATCCATCCCAGGAGAATGTGCAAGTCTGTTCCTGCAGGCAGAGAAAATCGGGACTGTCTATCCCCCCATTCTGTCCTATGGACACAGAACCACAGAGGCCCAGAACACAGGGAGACCAGGCAGCAGGGAAGGAATGACCAACAGCAAGAAAACTGAGAACAGAAATAAATCAGCATCGGAAAAAGGAATTCAAAAAAATATATGCTTGAACTGTAAACCAGACCCTGCTATAAAAGTGGGAGAAAAACAAAGAGTAATTTCAAAATAAGGTTTGAGAGCTACCTCAGAGGCTGCGACAGGCGATCACAAGTTTAAGGTCAACTGGGGCAACACAGTAAGAACACGTTTCAAAACAAAAAAGATTTGGACAGAAAGAAAAAGTTAAAGATCTATGAAAGAAAAGATCTGACACAGGGAAGAAATGATCTAATATCCAACTAACAAGAGTCCCAGGCAGGCAGAAAAACTGAGAAGAAACCAGTCCTCAAAATGTAGCAGAATTAATGCACACAAACCTCTAAAACAAGACTCCAGGGGTTCACAAGAATGGCTGAAAAAAGCTTTGACCTAGTCGCTCACAAACATTCAAACAGTAAGGGCACAGAAATGATCCTGAGAGCAGAAGAAGTGAAGCTGTCATCTGCAGAGGAACATGCGAGTTCATCTTCTCATCAGCAGTGCTATCTGCTAGAAGACACTGTAGAAACATCTTCAAAGCTGTGGGGAGAGCTTTCGACAGACTTCTGCACACAGCTAAAGGGGAATTCATCAAACATGACCCTGAGCCATTAAAACGTGCAGGACATACCTTTAAAATCGAAGACAGCTATCACAGCCATACCAGCTATGATGCAGACACAATATTAAACCAGAGATGAGAGACACTTGCTATGCGACCAATAAGGATTCCAAATCTCTTTCATCATTGAAAAGTCTAGCAACTTGGCACAAATAGGCTATAAAGAAATCACCCAGAAAGGAATGAAGGCCAGAAATGGATAATATGGGTTCTCTGTACACCTGGATCTGCCACCACATTTTTGATCTTTCAAAAACACAGGAAAAGAGGTCTGAACAAAGGATTTTATGAATAACATAAAGCAGTCTTTGTTTGGCAACTCAGGGGCCTTTTTTGTCTTTTTTTTTTTTTCAGGTTTTCCACTTCCATTGCTTAAGGCTAAACTTAATAAACAATCTTTGACACATGAATAAAGTTCTACCTAAACAACGCTAGCCCTGGTGACATAAGTATTGTTCTACACAACCTCCACAAGGGGGCAGTAGAATCCTCTTTGCAGCATACAAAAATAAATTTCTAATTATTCACTTTCATGCTAGCTTGACTCAGAATCCTTTCCTAGAAAGCACCTAATAGCTGTGATCTTCATACTAAAGGAACAAGTAGATCTAAATACAGTTAGCGAACGGGAGGCACCTTTCAGCTAGACACCTGCTTAGGTGTCTGTTTCATCGTGTCTTTAATGCTTTTAACAGTATTAAAAATTAAAACACACAGCTTGTGACAGTAATAGCCCACACTGGACACGACTGCTAACATTCTCTTTTCTCCACCAGGCATCAATAATGAACTCGAAACCCTCTTGGTTTTGCTAAGACAGAAGCTTCAGAACAAAGACCCTTCGTGACAGGGACCACCAGACGCCACCTACCAGCTGAACTTGGGAACAAGAGAAGAAATGTCCCCACGAGCCAGAAAGGAAACTGTACAATGAGGGGCAGAGGAGGGAGAGAAATCAAACAAAATTAGAAGTATAAGTCAGTTCATTGCTAAAAGATGCCTTCGAAGAATGTTCTTAAAATACCAGGAAACCAAAGAAAAGTCATCGCATAACATTCTTACTTTAAAAAAAAATTCTTACTTTTGCTGTACCAGTCTGGGAACCATAGAAAATCTTCACTCCAGATACAAAGATTTGCTTCTTTTGAAGGGAGAGATAACCATTTGTCGTCAAATCCTGAGTTGCTTTTGGAACAGACTTCTCCTGTGAGTTCTTGGCCTTGAAAATAAACAACTGCACAAAAATCCATGAACTCTCAGTCTTTCCCCTACTTCAGCAGGGATGAAAATGAGCACAGACACTGATCCACCCACGTTATTATTCTGTTCATCTTTCTGGATCCTCATTCCCTCCAAGGTAAACCCACACACAGAGGCTCCATTATAACATCTCTAAAAGCTTAGAGAAGAAACTTTTAAGTATTTAAAAAAAAATCAAGACCAAACATCAAAGTGATTTAAAGTTCCTTTTAGCTTTTCTGTATGACTGAAAGCACTAGAAAATCTGTACTCTAAATTCTTCATACATTCTGCTATGTAAATATTTCCTTTTTAAAAAGAAAAGAAAGAAAAACTGTACCACTTACCTGCTTCTTGATGGCAACTTGGAAACAAATCCAAAGGCTAATGCCAAAAGCAATGCCCAAGTAAATGTAAAACCTGTTTATCCATAATGATAATAAAGATGAGGAGAGGTTCCACACATCAAAAGGAGGATCTAAATTTAAAATGACATATACAGGTAATTTCATTTAAAGTCATACATTCAAAAGTTACTGTTTTACAAATTCAAAAACAAAACCAATCTTTACAATCAACAACACAGCTAAAAAATCTAATTTTAATACTCTAATTTAAAAATTCACTTGATGGGTAATTATAAATTGATTTTGTTGTTATGCTCACTCCCTAAATAAAGCTTAAAATCTTTCCAAAAGGTGTTAAGATGGCTGTGGTCCTAGCACTCGGGAGGCTGAGGCAGGAGGACTGCAGCAAGTTCAAGGCCAGCCTGGGCAACATAGTGAGTTCATGGTCAGCTAAAACTACAACATGAGACCCTATCGCAAAAAAAAAAGTAGGGATGAGGATTTAGATCAGTGGCTTGAGTGCTTGCCTGATAAAGTGCAAGGTTATGAGTTTGATCCCGGTACCAAAAAAAAAAAAAAAAGTTCTCCCTTATTGCAGCTTTTAAAACTTTTAACTTTGATCTAGGTGTCTAAATTGTCCATAATGGACTGGAACTTGCGATGCTCCTGACTCAGCCTCCCGGAGTGCGGAAATTATCGGTGTGCCGGACTCCACTGCATCTTGAAATATCTGCAACTGCTGGTAAAGGACTCTTTTATTAGAGACCTCACGCCCCACTCTGAAGGAGATGCGCAAGGACCAGGCCGCAAATACAAAACTTGAGGGCAACTTCGAGAGAAGCCTGAAATCTGGGCTTGGCAGGCACTGCCACCAAGAACCAAAAGTCCCAGGAACAAGAGGAAGGCGGAAGGGGTGCCTTTTATTTGGGGTGAGAAGCTTCCAGACGCACCCCCAGCTTCAACAGGCAAAAGCGGAGAGCAGTTCCTCTCGCCCCGGCGCGGCCGTCCAGAGCCCGGCGACCACCTTTAAGGGACGGAAGGGCAAAGACGCCTCAGCTCCCGCCAGCCAGAGTCCCTTACCCATTCTTCTCCGAGGCTGAGTCCTACAGGCCAAAGGGAAAGCGGGCCCTCGGAGCTGGGAAGCCTGGCGGCTGACGTGGGTAGCAAGAGTAGAGTAGAGATACCGCTCAGAGTTGTCAGCCTTGCCAGCTTTCAGAGCTCTACGAAGCCATGCCGCTCGCAGGCCCACCCGGATTGGTCGGAGCGGAAGGAGGCGGGCCCAACCGGAAGCCCACAGCTCAAAGAGAGGAAGCGAGAGAGCTCCCAGAGTCACTCTGATTGGTTCACAAGGGAAGGGGGGTGGGTCCATAAGGCCGACCGCCCAGACCTCTGGGCGCAAAAACATGGGAGTCCTGCTGGGATTGGCTCAGAGAGGAAAAGGGCAGGCTCAAAGGGAAGCACCGCCCAGCACTCTAGAAGCACCTCCCAGAGCACCCGGCAGTCTCCTTTATTGGCTCAGATTGGGAAGGGGCGGGTCCATCAAGAAAAGAGCGGTATTGGGCGGGGGAGAGTGAAGGGAGGTGACTGTATACATGGCAATAGTAAGAGTCCGGGTTTGCAGTGTATGGGTCTTTCTGGACCTCAAGAGAATAAAAAGCCACTGTAAAAAGCTATGATTTAGGGGAGAAAATTTAAAGTATGAAATGGCTATTCCATGATATTGAAGAATTATGGTTAGTGTCATTCGGTATCTCTGTTAAAGATATAAAAGCTAAAAACATAACCTGATTTAAAGTATTCCAATGAAAAAAGAGGAACAAACCAAGAATGGCAAAGTGTTAATTGTTGAAGCGGGGTGATTCGGTTTCGTTGTGATTATTTTCTCCACTTTATGTTAAATTTTTCCCTTAAAAGGTTGAAGTCAGTGTGGCTCCTGAGCTCTGTGGGACTGTGCAGCCACAGTGCTATGTTTCCACCCGGTCACTACACAGCAGCCACCAGCCTATCAGAACACATTAGCTCATTGGCTAAAGCAACACGTCAGGAAAAAGCGCCTCCCTTTTTTGGGGTGCGGAATTAAGTCGTAGAGAGCCACAGTGCGCAGGCGTAGTCGTAAAAGGCCACCGTGCGCAGGCGTAGTCGTAAAAGGCTGTGTGGTACGCAGGCGTAGTTGCTTATTACCGCACCCTGTGACGCCTGCGTAGTAAGTCAGCCCCATACTGGGGCGGAGGTCCACAGGTAGTAGACGCGCCGCGAGCGGTGCGGTCGTTATAGCCCGCGAGCCGCCGGGTTGTTCCACCAAAACGCGAGTCTGCCCTGGCTTGCCGGACCTGAAGTCCGTGGGCAGCCGCCATGTCGATCTTCACCCCCACCAACCAGATCCGCCTCACCAATGTGGCCGTAGTACGGATGAAGCGCGCCGGAAAGCGCTTTGAAATCGCCTGCTACAAAAACAAGGTCGTCGGCTGGCGGAGTGGCGTGTGAGTGACCCCTGTCGCCTGTCCTCCGGAGCGGCCTCCTTGTCACCAAGTCGAGAGGACGGCTACGCTAGGGGGCTTGTCAGGGAAGGGCGGAAAGCCTATTCCTGCTGTGGGCGGGAGAGGTCGCTGTCCTTGCTCAGCCTGGCGCCTGAGCCAGGGGTCTCTTTAGTTGGTTCGGATCGGGTTGTTGGTTTGCGTGTGATGAAAGCTACAGCCAAGAAATCCCCCAGTAGTGGTCCTTGCCTCGCACTGGTGTTATAGATTACAATTCTAGTCTTCCAGATACTGTCGTGGTTATCCGTGTGTCTGATGTCACATCAGGAGCCGCGGGGTGTCAGCGAAATGCGTAGTGTCATTACTGCTGCCCTCTAGGGGCCAGCATGGAACGGCCACCATCAGCCCCACCCCACCCCGGGTTCCTACAGGAGCCTAAGACGTTTTCTCATTTTCTCCAATAAATAAGAATACAGATGGGGCTCCAAGCTTTGAAACTGTTCCCTCGACACTAAGGGTCTTTTAGGAGTCCCTTGAGTCTTGCTGTTATGTCGTTGCCTTCTTTCATTTAAATGTCTGAGAATATCCAGGTGTCACATGTATTCATGTAGGCTTTTGTCGCCTGCACCCCTCTTCTCAGGGAAAAAGACCTAGATGAAGTTCTCCAGACCCACTCGGTGTTTGTGAATGTTTCTAAAGGCCAGGTTGCAAAGAAAGAAGATCTTATCAGTGCCTTTGGAACAGACGACCAAACTGAAATTTGTAAGCAGGTAAATTCTGCTACCTACAGCATAAGGAACTCAACATTGATTTGTAGCCAGTATCCTTTTGGGGATAGGACAGTAACACAAAACGAAGTGCACAGTGTCCCATTGGTCTGGTTCCCTGGTTGAAATGTTTTGTTCTTTGTGTTGGTTTGGTTTGGTGGTAGTGCGGATTGAACCCACAGCCTTAAGCTGAGCTACATCCCTGCCATGCCATTTGAGATAGGGCATCACTGAGTTGCCCAGGCTAGTCTGGAACTTGTCGCTCCTCCCAACATGCTGGATTCCAGACATGCACCACCACACCCAGCTAGAATTATCAGTTCTAATAATAAAGGATGTGTATGTTTTTGTAAAAACCTCCAACACATAACTTTTTTCTAACAGATTACTTCATTTTGCAGTTATTTACTTTTATAATATGGTATTACTAATAAGTGAATTTTCCAATCAAATTTCTTTGCTAAGATTGTTCCTCCCCAATCTAGGATCCAGTCCTCACTGATTGAAAGTTTGAAACACAATATAATCCAGTGCATCCTTTAGAAGAAGTTCAAATCACTATCAATGTTTGAAGAGAACGAGTTAATTTTCTTTTCAGTTTCTAATTCTTGCCGTTAATTTAACAAATAATGTGTAGTAAAGAAATATTTTGCTTTCTTAAAACTTCTTTTTCAGATTTTGACTAAAGGAGAGGTTCAGGTGTCAGATAAAGAAAGGCATACACAGCTGGAACAGATGTTTAGGGACATTGCAACCATTGTGGCAGACAAGTGTGTAAACCCAGAGACAAAGAGACCGTACACAGTCATCCTCATTGAGAGAGCCATGAAGGACATCCACTATTCAGTCAAACCCAACAAGAGCACAAAGCAGCAGGTGAGCGATGTGGAATGCTTTCAGACATCAAAACAGCGGATGGCATGGAAGCAAGATTTTTAAAGGATCAGTTTAACTCTTCTTTTTAGATTGTTTTTCTTTTAACTTAACCCTGAAAGTTGCCCGTTAGAGTGTACAGTTCATTCGTACATTCATAGAGTTTTAGAACGCACATTTCGGAACCTTCTCTATATGGAATTAGAGAAATTTCCATCACTCCCCCCAGCCGGAAACCCTAACCCTACTCCTAATCCTACTAGCAGTTGTTCCTTCTTCCTGAGTCTCTCCCACAGCCCTGAGAATGATTGACTTCATGTCTCCTCGGACTGGTCTATTCCAAACACTTCAGATAAATGGATTAATTTATCCATTCTGTCTGTGTTGTGGGGAGTGTTGAGACAAAAGGTCTCACTGTGTAGTTCAGGCTGGTCTCAAATTCACGGCAGTCTTCCTGCCTCAGCCTCCTGATGCTGGGATGACAGGTATGTGCCAGGAAGCCCAGCTTCTTCTTTTGTCTTAATGGCTGAACAATGCTGCATTGTACAGCAATGTCACATTTTTATTCAATCACCAGTTGGTGGATCTTAGGTTGTTTTCACTTTTTAGTTATTATAAATAATACTGCCCCAAATTAATTATAAGATGTTACATGGAAAAAAAAAAAAAAAAAGATGTTACATGGACATATTTCATTTTTTTCTTTTGTGGTACCAGGAATTGAACTCAGGGCCTTACACTTGCTAAGCAGGCACTGCCCTGCTGAGCTACATTCTCAGCCCTTTTCATTCTTTTATACCTGGGTATTAGGTACTTTCCTTGTTGCTAAGTCAAAATACCTGATATCCACAAGTTGAAAGAGAAAAGGTATATTTAGCTCACAGTATGTAGAGCTTCAGCGGCTCCAAGGCCGAGCAGCATGGCAAAGGGGTGTCACAGGGGAGAAACAGTCCACGGCAGGCGGACAGAAGCAGCAGCAGCAGCAGCCTTCCTTGTACCCCTTGTATTCCATCCCGGCTGGAAGCCTATTGATTGGTGCCACCCACACCCAGGATGGGGCTTCCATTACCCACATCCACGGCTGTGCTAAACCACTTCAGTTGTTGCACACCCTAGATCCAGCCACCTCCAAAAAGCCCTGCAGTGAGCACATGAGGCTGTGGGGAGACATCTAGACACAAGCCACAACACTGGGTCTTACGGTAACATACCTTTTAAGGTTACCTTTTAAGGAACCGCCAAACCATTTTCAAAAACAACTGCGCAATTTACTCCCTCACCATCGGTGCCAGAGGGGCCCATATGCTGGACAACACTTGTTACTGTACTGTCCACTTGTTTATTATAGCCACCTTAGTGGTATCTTCTGGTTTTAGATTTGCATTTTCCCTAAAAACCTCTCTGAGCATATTTTCATGTGCTTATTGATGCTTCATTGGTCATCTTGGGAGAAATATTCAGATTCTTTATCTGTTTTTTGAAACTGGGTTTTGTTGTATAGTTCAAGCTGGCCTTAAACTCAGTATGTAGCCCAGGCTGTCAAACTCATGGTGATGTTCCTGCCTCTGCCTCGTGAGTACTGAGATTCCAGGTGTACACCACATCTGGCTCAGATTCCTTGCCACTTCTTAATTATCTTTTCATTGTAAGAGTTGTTTCTGGGTTCTGAGTTCTGGTTCATTATGAACTTGCAAATATTTTCTCCTATTCTGTGAGTGGTAGTATCAATGTGTTGATAAACTTTTTTTAAAGGACAGTTTTTTTAATTTAGTGACAGCCAATTTTCCTGGGTGTTTTTCTGTGGGTATTTATGCTCTTTTGTAGCCAGGAAACCATTGCCTAGCACAACTAGATGGATTTGTCTGTGGAGAGAGGAAGGGGACACAGGTAGTAAAAAGGATTAAGGTTTCATATGTGTAGGAACCCAGTTCCACACGATGAAAGTATTCAGTATGTGCCACAAACATACACTAACAACAAAGTTTTTAAACAGGTGACCACTTTGCTTAGCACTTTATAAAACAGTGTAGCAGCAGCAGGAAAGAAATTGCAGACCTTCTCGATTTTGTCCCATAGGCTTTGGAAGTAATAAAGCAGTTAAAGGAGAAAATGAAGATCGAGCGCGCCCACATGAGGCTCCGCTTCATCCTTCCCGTGAACGAAGGGAAAAAGCTGAAAGAAAAGCTCAAGCCACTGATCAAGGTTATAGAAAGTGAAGACTACAGTCAGCAGCTGGAAATGGTAGGGGAATGCGCTGACTTCTTTGCCTGCTGCTACCAAAATCATTCATTTTCTAGTTGTAAATGTGTGACAGACGTTGAGAAGTTGTAGACAGTAGGTTGTTTGTAGAATTCTGTTAACTACATTGTACTTAAGCACACTTAAGATTTTGGGGGTTATTTTGGTTAGAGTATTCATAACAGAATTATGTTGGTCATGCTCATTTTAGATGATTCAGTGAGTTTTTTTTATTTTATTTTATTTTTATTGTCTTTTTCCTTTGTATCGGTACCGGGGATCGAACTCACGACTGCCTGCTTGCAAGGCAGGCGCTTATGCCGCTGAGCTAAATCCCCAGCCCTGATTCAGTGAGTTTTAAGGTGCTCTTCTATTACAAAGCAATAGAAATAAGACTATAAGTTGGTCAGCCTTGTTTACCACAAAACACTTTAAAGAATCTGCATTAACAAATTAATGTGCTAGCTGTAAGCCAAGCGCCATGGCACATACCTATAACCCCAGCTGTGTCAGAGGCTGAGTCAGGAGGATCTCCAGTACAAGACCGTGCAATAAGACAAGACCCATCTTTAAAACAAAATCAAAAAGTTAGCTTAGGGAATTGCTGAGTATTGTGAAACATATATGACAGTATTTGCAGTTCTCTTTTCAAAATTTTACACGTGCTTTCTAAGTAGATCTTCGATAGCTTTTTCTCTTTCACATGTGAAAGTGATTTCATTGAACAATAAAATCTAATGCCACGTTTTAGTATGAAAAGATCATAATCTTCTCGTCCAAACCCTTCTTTTTACAACTGGGGAGTCTGCTTTTGCGGGGGTGGAGAGATTTTTTTTCTCTGTGGTGCTGGGAACTGAACCCCAGGTCTCAGAATTGCTAGGTGGACGCTCTGCCACTGAACCACAGGGCAGCTGGGAGGGTGCAGGGGCCGGTACAAGCCCCGAGGGTAGAGAGCAGCAGGGCTCTGCCTCCCCTCCTGGTGCTAGCAGGGCAGGCAGGTGCTGGGAGAGCTGAGACTGCCCCGGGACGCTGGGGCCACTCTCACTCTGCCGGGACAGATGGCTTCCACCAGACACTGCACAGCTGTGTTAAATGTTGCAGGTGTGTCTCATCGACCCAGGCTGCTTCCGGGAAATTGATGAGCTCATAAAAAAGGAAACAAAGGGCAAAGGTTCCCTAGAAGTCCTCAGCCTGAAAGACGTGGAAGAGGGAGACGAGAAATTCGAATGACCTCCACCGGCTCCTCAGCACCAACACTACAGCGGATGCTTCGCAGCTGACGTCAGTCTCATTTCTGTGATTTGCCAAACCCTGCTGAAACTATTTGACATTTTCCGTCTCTGGTTTAACGTCTACATAAGTATACCATGGGAATGATTTAGTTTTAATTGTAAGTTGGGGTTTTGGGCAAAAGTTTAAAAAAAAAAAAAAGCAACAATCCGAAGTCCAGAGTAGCATTTTGCTGCTGTCTTCTGCCCTGCCAGCTGTTGCAGTAAAAGTTGAGACACTTCTTGTGCATAAAAAGTTCAATTTTGTACATTGTATAAGTTAAATAATTTGGGGAATATATCTGTGATGATAAAAAGTATTTGCTGGAAAAGGGAACATATGACTCATTTCTGCTGCAATCTGCATACAGGCCTAATTACTGTATCATGTGCTAATGTAAACCTTCAGTGATGACTTGCTGATTATCTGAAAAAGGAGATAGAATGACTGTGCAGGACTTCAGTAATCCTCAGAGAACATTCTGCCATATCCTAGATTATTCTTGGTAAAACAGAAAGTCATTTATATCTAATTCTTAAGGTTTATAATATATATTAATATAGCTAAAATTATATGTAACCAATAAAGTGTTATTTTTATTAAACTGTGGCTTGTGTTTCCAGACACTTCCCTAAGTCCCTATCCTTCCGTGCCTTTGTCTGTGGCAGGGCTGGGACATTGGGAGAGGGGAGGCAGGCCACGTGGAGTCCTGTTCTGATAAGCGGTGATGACGCTTAGTGAACATTCATTTGTGATGTAACTAACTTAAAGTAGTTTACTATTTAAACACTTTATCCTCAAAATGCACTCCAGAATATACATTAGAGCTTTGTGGACAGTAGTGGTTTTAACTGAAAAACAAGAGTTCTTAAAGAGGTCCTGATTGGTTTTTAAAGCACACAAAATTCCCTGCCAATGCAGGTTCTCAGAAACGTCTTGTTTATTTCAGTTATTTTTCTAGTAGTGCTAAACGTAATGCTAGTTTTGTCTGATAATTAGGGAATGAGCAATTTCCGTTAACACTGAAACTGCACTAGTTTGATCCGGTCCTGGGGAAACCTGTCAGCCTGTTTCACGCTGTGTGTGTCCACACGTTTGTGCACACACAAGGGTTTGTTTGGGGTTGGGATTGAACTGAGGCACAAGCACCTGCCTGGGAAGTGCAAGGTCAGAAGTTTGATCCCCAGCACCAAAAAAAACTTCCAGGAGGAAGAAACGATTTTTTTTTGTTTTGTTTTGTTTTGTTTTTTTGTAGCGGGGATTGAACCCATGATCTCGCACTTGCCAGGCAGGTGCTTACACCACTGTGCTAAATCCCCAGCCCTCAGGAGAGAATTTTTTCTTGAAACATTTGCCACACAGGAATCACATTCATCATGGGGAATTTGTACCTGTACATACTTTAGTTCTTTTTATTGTCCCATTTCTTTCCTTCAACCCTTCTTTCCCTGTCAATTAACAAAGCTGTTGTTCCCTTCTTTCTTTTTGACCCTGTTCACGTCCTCCTCCCCCTTCCCTTGCTACTTCCCAACGTCTGCCCTCCATTTTGCTCCGTACACAATATGACATTTGAACCTGTATGATTTCACTTCAGATTATGTTCGGAGGTACATCTTATCTACAAATGTCTCTTCTGTCCTGCTGTATGCCAGAGTAGTTTCCCATTGGATAAGACTACATTGTCTTTATTTATTTGTCCATTGATGGGCGAATGGCTGTTTCCAAGGTTTAGCTGTTCTAAGTTTTGTTCTCTAAACACAGTATGCATACATCACTGTGGAATGTATCAGGAAGGTACCAAAAAGGGGAAGAGCTGGGCCAAATGGGACCTCTAGCTTTAGGTTTCTGAGGACTCTCCACACTGACTTCCACAGTGGCTGCACCAGCCTGCACTCCCACCAGCAGTGGAGAAGGATTTCTTTTTCCCCACAGCCCTCCAGCATTTGATACTGATTTCTTTTGGTGTTTTGTTTTGTTTTGGTTCATCTCTTGATAATAGCCATCGTTTCTGGAATGATGAAATCTCTGTTGTTTAAACTTGCATATTTGGATGACCAGTCATGTTGAGCCTTTTTTTTAACTATGTATTTATTTGCTGTTTGTACTTCATCTGAGAAATGTTTCTTCATTTCAGATGCCCATTTTGGATTGGGTCTTTGAATTTGGGGGATCTGGTTTTTTTTGTTGTTGTTTTTAGTTCTGCATATCCTGGATATTAATCCTTTATCTAGGAGTAGCTTGTAAGAATTTTTTCCTATTTTATGTGTTGTCTCTTCACTCTTGATCTCTTTTTCTGTGCAAAAGCTTTTTAACAGGATGAGATCTCGATGGGCGTGATGGCTTACACCTGTAATCCCAGTCTGGAGGCTGAGGGCAGAAGGGTCGCTGCAGGTTCAAGGCCAGCCTGGGCTGCAAAATGAGATCCAGGCTGGCCTGAAATGCATAACAAAACTCTGTCTCAAAACAACAACAAGTAAATAATGAATGAATGAATAAGGTCCCATTTGTTGATTTTTTGTAATATTTCCCGTGTGGTCAGGGATTTGTTCACAAAGTCTTTGCCTACACCCATGTCTTCAAGTTTTACCTAATGTATCTTCCATCATATTTAGTTTTTATTTTTATATTTATATCTTTGATTTATTCAGTGCATGGTGAGAGACACGGGTGCTAGTTTTCCAAGCACCATCGATTAAAGGGACTGTCTTTGTTCCAGTAAAGGGGTTTGGCCCCTCTGTGAAAGATAAGATAGGACCAAAGGAAGAAAAACTGGGTTAAGAAATGGAAAATTTTAAAAAACATTGCTACAGACTTCCAAGGGGATTTTTTTTATTATTTTGAGACAGTCTTGCTATGTAGATCAGGGTGGCCTTGAACTCAAGGCCATCCTCCCACAGCCTCTCAGATGCTGGTTACAGACATATGCCACCACACTCTGCTATGTTTTCTTCCAGGGCCTGCAGTCTTTAACCTTACAAGTCCCATTCCTCTCTGCCCTTTCTGTAGTCTGTGGGCTTATGTGGAGGTTTCTCAGTTCAAGGGGACCCCTCTCCTGTATGTGTCCGAGCTGGGCCATCAGTCCCAGAAAGGTGTGGAGCATTGGACTGTGAGGTTCCTAGCATGGATTCCTGCTGACTGGGGACCAACTCCGGGCACCTCATATATATATATATCTGGTGTCCATGAGAACAACTCCAGCCATCAGGTGGGGCTCAGGGGTCTCAGTGCCCAAAGGCAGGTACACCCAGGTCTAATATGGGGTGATCCCAGCAGGCCCAGTGAGGGTGTAGAGTGCTGGATGGTGTCTCACAGGTGACCTCTCATTTCTCCACAGTCCAGTCCACACCAAAATCTCCCACACTGCTGTCACTGCAGGTTGTACATCCCACAGTCTCTGGCTGTTGCATGCCTCTGCCTGACCTCTTGCTTTTCCACTGTGCACTTTTAGCTTCTTGTTGCCAGTTCATAGCGCCACCATCCCTGATTCACCCAACACAGGCGCTCACCTGGGCCAAACTATGGCACATTTCTATTGCACCACCAACTTTACAGCAAGATTTTTATGGACTAGGGTCTATCTGGGTATGGCAAAAATGTGCAAGACAGAGGGTGACCTAGTTACTTTCTCACCCGCAATCTAAAGGAGGGAAGTTTATTCTGATTCACAGTTTCAGTCCATAATCAGCGGGCTCCGAGGCAGACAGTGCGCAGCAGAAGGTCCTGAGTAGAAAAATGCTGCTCACATCATGGAGACAGGAGGCAGAGAGGGAAGGGAGGAGCCAGGGACAAGACCACAGGGCCCCAGTGACCACCTCCAGGCAGGCCCCTCCTCCTGATAGCCCATTCAGCCCTGAATATGTCAGTGGGTTAATCCACTGCTGAGTAGAGCACCCCATGATCCAATCACCTTCCAGACACAAGAGACTTTGGGGGCCTTTTAGATCTAAGCAGTGACAGTGGGTAAGATTAATCCTCCCTCCTCCACGACACACTGCACTGCGTGTCTGTGGTACAGAAAAAGTTGAAGGTAAGTGTGCTGCTGCCCTCTCAGCGTGATGCCTTCCTGGGTAGAACCCGGACTCCTGGCGTCCCAGAGGGACAATGCTGCAGCAGAGCTGTCCTCATAGCCCCAAGCCCCTTCCCTCCTTGAGAGACAGAGTCAGGGTAGAACCTCCTTAGACCCCAGAATCATCTTCAGGTATGGGCCAGACAAGCAAAGTAGAGTAAACGGTGTCCAGCACAGCCTGTAGGGGTCAGCACATGACAGCAGCTCTAAGGGCTGGGGATAGGCTGGAAGTCAAAAGCTCAGGCAATCAGGAAACTCTGCTCTTGGGCAAAACGCTGGAGGCTTGGTTTTTAACAGACTGACACCAGCCCCTAGAAGATGTGGGAAATTTGAGGGCTTTCTGGCCATCGCACAAGTGGTCCACTCCTGGAATGGACACATATTTAACACCTTTCAGAATTTATCCAACATTCCCAGAGAAATAAAGTGTTTGCAATCATTTAAGCCCGCAACAAACTATTTTCTGCACATTTTAAACAAATACTGTATTTCCCAGGAATGTAAACTAGGGGAAGTGTATACTTTGTTACATTATTAAACTTACCAATTTATCCAACATTCCCAGAGAAATAAAGTGTTTGCAATCATTTAAGCCTGCAACAAACTATTTTCTGCACATGTTAAACAAATACTGTATTTCCCAGGAATGCAACTAAACTAGGGGAAGGGTATACTTTGTTACATTATTAAACTTACCAACCTGTAGAGCTGTTCCACTCAACACAGCTCTCTCCCAGGCACACTTATTATCATCTGGTAGACCTTTCCCAGAATAATAAAAGTTTTCAGAAGAGGGGTCTAGGACTAATTAAATTAAGCTGAATGTGTCCGAGAAGACTAGAAATCTCTGATGCCCACGTGCACTCAAGGGTGGTGGCAGTTGTCCAGCACTGGTGGCCCCAGGCAAAGGACAGCATTCAGGGCAGGGGAGGGAGCATCCTGTTCCAGGCAGCAGCCACCACAGGCCCAGGTGCCAGACAGAAACACTCTGGGCATCAGAAGATTAACCAGTTTCTACAAAGATGAAGCATGGGAACCGGTCCTATGATCAAAGACAAATTGCAATGTACAAAATGTGATCACACAGTACTGTAGCCAGGTGTGGTGGTGCACATACCTGTAAACCCAGTGCTTTGGAGGCTGAGGCAGGAGGACCGCCACAAGTCAAGGCCAACCTGGACTACCCAGCAAGACCTAGTCTCAAAAAAAAGAAGTGCTCTGCTTAATTACACAACACACACTGCCATGAATCCTCCCAAAATCTTCCCCCTCCCTTTGAACTACTTTTACCATTCGTACCAGTCCCTGAAGAAGGTCTAGAAGTCCTCTTTGAGTGCTTGTATATGTGTGATCAAAAGCAGTGGATACCGCTGCTGAGTGCCATCCAATAGAAAAGCAGCTCGTAAAGCCACGCACACCCTCAGCCGCATCATTGACGGATCTGGCTCCATGTGACTCCTGGTTCTTCCCAAAGTCAAAATGACCATGAAAGGGCAATGTCAATTTTGGTCACTGAGGCAGCCAGACAGTATGACTGAAGACCCTCACAAAAGAGGACTTCCAGAACTGCTCCAGAAAGTGGCGAGACACTGGTAAGTGTCTGGAGGGAGGGGGATGATCTCAAGGGGTAGTCACGGCTAGGAGTCTGTTTACTGTAATAAATTCTTTAAAACATAAGCAGTCACCATGTTTTGACCGCACCCCATCCACATAAACACCCTCCGGGGAGTCCTCAGAAACTCGGTGGGAGAGTGAGAACCACGGTCCAGGCCAGGCGGGAAGACGCCACCACCGGGCTGGAGAGCCAACCTGTGCGCCAAAGGAGCCGCAGCCGCCGCCCAGCGGTCTCCAAACGCGTGCTCGCCGGGCAGTTCCAAATGCGCGTGTTAGCTGGGCTCTCTCAGCCTCGGTCTTCCGGAGGCACAGAGAGGTGAAGCCACTTGAGCAGACGACACCCCGAGGCCTGGAGTTAGCGCTGGGCTCCTCCCCACCGTGCGGGGCTCCAGGGCCACGAGCTATCTTTTCTGGACGAGTGACAGCGCGGCTCCCTGCCTGGCCCCTCGCGCGCGTGCTCACACACTCCAGGGCCACTGTGGCTGCGGGGTGCAGGATTTCCACCTGGGGTGGGACCCCCTCTTTCCATCCAGCAATGAGCCAGAGGCCCTGAGCACCAGGACCACATGCACCCCTCCCTCTGAAGCCCCCCCTCTCTCGCAGGATGCCCGGGACCTCTCCAAGTGGGTGCTGGTCATCTTCCTCTGCACAGCCACCATTAGACTCCTCCCTGGAAGGCAAGGACCAAGAAGACACAAAGACACGCACTTCATCTGTGAAACCGGCCCTGCAACCCTGGCAACAAAGAGAAACCCAGGAAATACTTACTATTGAAGGAAAACAACTTGACAGAAAGAGGCTGTATATCAAAAGCAAAACCAAGCCTGGCCTTTCCCCTGCATGTGGCACAACTAACTGCCACCTATCCGTGCCATTTTCAAACCACTCTCATCCACTGAAGGTCTACCACCTGCATGGCAGAAGTCTGGGTGCTCCGAGGTGAAAGGTGGGCTCCATAAATGCGCAGTCTTTGAGGCAGCAACTAGGCTCGTGATGCGCCTGACTGACCACACGGTTCTGCCAGTCCTAGACGAGCTGTGGGAAAGCCCACCCGGAAAACCAAAGGGCTTTGGGGAGAACCGGGGAATGTCGTCACGTGAGATTTTACACAGGCTGTGTGAATGCAAACTCACTCTCCGCGGCACAAACTTGCACTTTTGAAGACACAAAGGGACAAGGGGGGATGGGGCCCACGGAAACCATTCCAAGGCGTGTTCCTGGTATACAGCAAGGGAGGGAGAGGGGCCCAGGCAGGAATAAAGGGCCCAATGAGATGCCAGCCTGCTGTACTGGGGCTCTGCACCAACCGCATGGAAACTACTCCGGTGAGGGAAAAGAAAGGCACCTCTGACAGGTGCAAAAGGGAGGGACTCGCATTTGTAAACCGGATCTCCTTTAGCAGCAGAAGATGAGGCTGCCTTTTATGTCATGGCAAAGGCTGGCCAGCACTCCGGAGTAGGCCAGTGGGGCAGGAGTCCACAGCTTGCACCTGGGGGTCCACGCACCTGACAGGTGTCTCTAAAATGCCGTGCCATAGGGGCTGGGGATTTAGCTCAGCGGCATAAGCACCTGCATTGCAAGCAGGCAGTCGTGAGTTCGATCCCTGGTACCATTAAAAACGAAAAAGACACAACAAAATAAAATGCCGTGCCTGCTCGGCACCCTGTCCTGCTGCATGCCTTACACTTAAACCTTCTGGCAGGATGTGGGTCTAGTAGTGAGTATCTGTTGGTCTTATTAATCACAAAAGGTTCTGTGCTTTCAGGGAGAAGATCTATGTCTTGGTGAGCCAGCTCAGCATTACACAGTCAAGCCCCATCCTAACAAGAAGTGATACTTCAAAACTAAAAGGCTACAAAAGGTCCTCAATTGCTTATTATGTATTTTCCCTCCTTACAAAACATCCATTAAGGCAGGTATGGTGGCACACACCTGTAATCCCAGCACTCTGCGAGCTGAGGCAGAAGGATCCCAAGTGTGTCCCCCCTGGGGGACTAGGGCAACTCAGTGACTTAGTGAGACCCTGCCTCAAAATACAAAAAGGCTGGGGATGTAGCTCCATGTGAAGGCCCTGGGCTCAGTCCCCAGTACTGTGAAACAAAACACACAGAAACACAGACAAAAACCCACACACCCATCAGACTAGTGGAAAAGAAGACACAGCAAGTAAATCCTGATGTTTTATTCTGTAAAGCACATACGCACATATTCCAAACACGGAAATTAATCAAGGAGTGAATGCCGTAACAGATCAGCTACTGACCATCATGCAGCAAGGTAAGCGGAATGGCCCGTGGGCCCGCAGAAGCCCACAGTGCCTGCAGGAGGGTTGAAAAACCAGGATGCTGAATCCCTGCACACCGCCGAAGGAAGTGCAGGCTCCTAACAATGTGAGAAACTTACAAATAGAATCAAAACTGATTCAAGTCATACAGTGAAAGGACAAAAGGAAAAAGGAAAGAGATCAATATGATCTGAAACAACCGTTTTAATAGTAAGTCGCCGACCTTTCACTGGCCCTCCAGTCCAAGGGGCCCGAGGACGAGCCTGGGTGCAGTGGGGCCGCCCAGGGGCAGCCTGGCCTCCTCTGAACACACTCCAGTCCTGAGGTGACGTGAGGCACAGCCGTGGACTGGGCCTGCAGATGAGGCCCAGCAGGAACAGGCACCCTGCACCTGGGCCCCAGAGCCGTGGCCCCCCGCTCCCGCCTTCCTTCACACAGCGGCTTGGCTCTGGGTTCCTGCGAGATCTGCTTACTGGAGAATGCCCTGCTTCTCTGAAGGCTGGGTTCTGACGTGTGTCCCGGCCTCAGGACTGGTCACACCGCCTGGCACTTTGGCACATTCTCCCACCTAACATGTTTCTCCCCTGGCTACATTCCAGCCATTGCTTGTCACTGAAACAAGGGTAATTAAGATTTGCAATGAGCTGGATTGAACCAACCAGTGAAACTGACTTATTTTAAACTTGTCTTCTGCTTGTTACATTATTCTGCTAATGAGGAGCTAACCCTCTAACTCCACTTCACTGGGACCTTACTAATTCAGTAGCAGCTTGATGTAAAGTCTGATAGTCCTAAGGATATTGACATTTCTAAAGGCCAAGCCAAATATCTCTTTCTGAACCTTGTCTCATAAGGGTTTCAAAGTCTCTAAAAGAAAAACTAAAAGTTAGCCATGCATCATGTAAGCAAATCATATCATACCAAAAAGAGTAAGAAACAGAAAACTGGTTAGACAAGTGTGATTACTGCACTTGAAATGTATTGAGAGGAAAAAATGGCTTACTAACATACCAAGTTACTGTAGTGATTATTTTCACAATTTTCAATAAAAGCCCACAACTGTTTTCAATTCAAGAATGCCCAGGGTAGAATGTTCCAGGCCAACAAATTTTAGACTGCAGGAACTCCTTCTAATTTAGAGCAGGCAGACTCCAGAGCTCGTGCTGACAGCTGTGTCCAAGGTCTTAACTGGCCTCCTGCTCTCACGCTATGTGGGAGAACTGACACCCCAATGACAGGACTCACTAAGGCAAAGAACTGTCAACAAAACAACTCACAAGGAAGGACTGGAACAGACAATGGACAAGTTTTTAAAAACAAAAGAGAATTAGGAGACAAAAGGACTGAGGAGCTAGATGATCAAAACATTCTAAGAAAACTTCCTCTGGTCGCCCTTGATAAACAGTGAAGTGTGGGCTGGGAGGACAGTTTAGTGGGAGTCACTCACCCCGTGTGTGCAAAGCCCTCAGTTCAGGCCCCCGCACCACAAAACAGACACGATAATGCAGCCCGTGTGTGCACATGTGTATGTGCGTGTGCACACACACACACACACACAGGAAACAGCGAGTCAAAATTTCATTCCTTCCAATTTTACAGGCACTGTCTTCATCATGTTACAGATCTAGTACATCCCATCTTCCTTTTGAAGATGTTTGTTGCATAAAAATAAAAGGAAGGGGGCTGGGGATTTAGCTCAGCGGCATAAGCGCCTGCCTTGCAAGCAGGCAGTCGTGAGTTCGATCCCCGGTACCAATAAAAAGGAAAAAGACAAAAAAAAAAAAAAAAAAAAAAAGGAAAAACATTTTCTTAAAAAAAGTTTATCTCTTTTTCAAAAAAAGAAAAATCCTTTCATGACCACTAAACCACACTGTCACCTTTCCTTCCGCACTGCCATGTGCAGCCAGGAAGTGAGACAGCTGACTGCGATTCCACCCCGAGCAGCGAGCAGCGGCCTAATGTCTAAGCTTCAACTTTCACAACAGAGGGCAGAGAACAAGGAAAAACAACACTCTGTGCCAACTCAAACGAGACCGGGTTCCTCCCCCCAGCATGGAATACGGAACTAAGAGCTTTACCATCTAGGTGAATTTTAAATATTTAACTTTTTACTCAGGAGAAAATCACAAGTCTGTTCTAACTAGAGTAGTATTAAAATGTGACTATTTTTTCTTTAAAAAAAAAAAACAAAACCTAAACACTTAGGTATGTTTCCTTGCAAGCAAAATGAGGAAAAGGGTATTGTTGTTACTATGATTATTAAGCCACAGACACATAAAATCCACAAAATGGATTGGTGGCTTTGGAAATGCAATATCATATCGAAGGTGCAGACTGTTTCAAACATCTTGCACGTATCGGGCTGAAACAGGAACAGAAGCAACCCCAGCCCCACCATCGAGGAGGCACACTGCGCCCCTGATGGAAACTTGACCTGCTCCGTGATGTGAGATCCTCGAGTCCCCTCTAGTGCGACGCAGAAATCTCCTAAGCCCACAGGTCCTGGGTGAGGCAAAGGATTCTGGTGCACCCAGTGCAAAGCACGTGCATCATTGGACCAATTTCTGAATAGATTTTTATAAATATGTACAAATCAGTTACAGGCACTTGAAATGTCTTTGGCTGGAACAACCCAACACTGCAAGATCATGTGTGGAGTGGCCAGGCCCTGGCTGGGGTCAGCAGGCAATGATGATGGTTCTTTCAGTCTCTCTCCGAAGACGGGGAGGTGTGAGATTAGGCATCAGCCAAAGCCACCTAGAGGAAACCAAGACAGGCAATGCAGTCACAAGGGCACCTGGGGAATCCAGCCCCAGGGGACCCTACCCAAAGGCCAGCCAGGGCCACACTGAAGGCATGCATCTACAGGCTCTTGAGAAACAATCCAGGGAAGAATGAACAGAAACCCAAAGTCCTCTCCAGGAAGCAGCCAATGTGTGGAACTCCCGTGCTGCAACAGAATCCACCTCCGGACCCTGAGAAGCACTGTTAAGATGATTCTCACACTAAGAGATACGGAGGCAAGGCAGCCTAAGCAGGGTCAATTCTACAGTGGGAAATTCAGAATAAGGGCTTTAACCAATGTCATGGTTTATGTCTGTGTCCCCCAGGCCTCCTGCATTTGCATTGCGCATTTGTGATGGCTCATTGTTAGTGCTTGGATTGATGGGTCAGTGCTCCACCCACACAGGGGTGGAGCCAGGATGTGATGTAATGGCAGGAAGAAGGTGTGTCTCTCTTGCTGGTTTGTGTTTGCAGCCGCCATGAACTGCGGCCCAGCCATGCCCACCTGCCTTGGAGCCAACTGAGTGTGGACTGAAACCTCCAAAAACTATAAGAAATAAACCTTTCCTTTCCCAACTTGGGCTTCTGGTATTTTGTCTCAGTGACGAGTAAAAAGTAACTAAGACAGCCAAGTATGTGGCTGAAACCCCACTGCCATAATAAAGATGAGCCAGGAACAAATTCCTTCTGGGGAAAAGGTAAGGACTAAGATATGTGTACACTGAGACCTCTAGCAAACGCAGGACCCAGACCCATCCAATGCTTACCTTCTCAGGGCAAAATTCAGGGTTGCTCTGACGCAGTTTGCTGGGTCTGCCTTTGATCACAGCATAGCAAAACATTGTTATCACCATCACAAAGAGGAAGTAACTGGTGTGCATGAGGTGCAAATTTATTAATGAACGGTCATCCTAAATAAAGAAAAAAACAGAAGCATCTGCAACTGAGTCACTAAACGGTTTCTAAAGACAGAATTCTCAAACTCTAGACTTGATCAACTTGCATGGCAGGAAGGAACAGGAAGTCTCTCCTTTCATCTCCAGACTACTGTAGCTGGCTCTAATTAAGTAAAGACATGATGCCACCATCAAGCCCCACCACAAAGAATCCTCCCTTCAAAGGCCACAGAGACTCACCTTTAACCCCTGTTCCTCCCTGGATGCCTCTTTTCTCTCCTGGCACTGCTTGCTAACTCCCTGGCACTCCCACCGTCACACCTCAGGTAGCTTCTGTCCTCTGGCCCTTTCCCCACTTCTTTGAGTCCCTGGCTGAAACTGCAGAAGTCAGGCTGGATTCATTGCTCTCTGAGCTCCCCAATGCAGCCAACCCTCAGGCCTGCTGGTGGGGCAAGATCCCAGACCTGCTTCTACCCGGGGCTCACTCTCGTTGACACAGAGTGGAGCAGACAGCCTCTGAACACACCCAGAGGTGCCCTGCAGTCCCACTCAGGCAGTGCCAGCGAGGCAGGGCCTGCTGAACACCACCCTTGCCAGGCCCATTGCCACTGCCACTCCACAGCCCCACAGAAACGAGCCACAGAAAAGGGCCAGGGCCAGACTGAAAGAGAAGGAATCCACCCAACACAGTGCTGGAAGTAAGGAAGGGCGTAAGCGCTGCCAGTGGAGAGCACACACTCATCTATGCAGGATGCAGGGCAAAGGCAGCAGTGGCAGAGTTCCCCTTCCCTCTGGAGGCCACGCTCAGTGGGCTGCCCTCTCCAGTCCAAGAGTCACCTCCTTCTGGATCTGTTTCAGCCTCTCCAAACCCCAAGCAGCACCATTCACGCTAACCATCAGAGGCTGTGTGCATCAGTGAGACCCAACAAGCATTTCTTGTAATCCATATGGAATACAGAATAGCTGCTCAAGAAATAACTGCTGCTAAAGCAAACAAAATAAAGAACCAGACTTTCTGAATGTTTTTAAAAGGATAACCTGCTTTCCAAGTTCCCACGCTGCGCTTGGTCACCCAACCCCAGCCAGAGCCTATAGTGACAGGGAGGAAGCTAAGCCAAGGAGGCTAACAAGACCTGAGTGTGCGTGTGCGCACACACACACACACGCACACACACACACGCACGCACAACTGCTCTTACTTACATCTGGAACAATAACGGTAAGCTTGGGATTTAAAGCATGATAGACTTTTCCAATGGCCCCCTTGTAACACCAGAAAGGATTGTAGTCCTGCGCGTATTTCGTGTTGGCATCACGGGCCGTCGTGAAGATCTTGTACCACAGCGTGGCATTGCTGTACGTGTCAGGGACGCAGTGTGGAGGCTGTCTGCAGAGGAAGTGGGGGGAGACCAGGGCTCAGCCCCCTTACACATCCACTTGGGTCCCTCCACGGAAGGGACACGGAACCAAGCAACACATGTACGAAGGAGAATACGGCATTTCTGACATCACTGGTTTCTCTAGAATAAATACTATTACATATGTAATTTAAAGTTGTCTATCTGTCTGTCTTTCTCTGTTTCTTTTTGTGCTTTTTTTTTTTTTTTTTTTTTTTTGGTCTTTTTCCTTTTTATCGGTACTGGGGATCGAACTCACGACAGCCTGCTTTCAAGGCAGGCGCTTATGCTGCTGAGCTAAACCCCCAGCCCTCTCTGTTTCTTTTTAATAAAACAGAAGAAAAAACATACAAGTGCCTGACGCTGAGCAGTTTGGGGGCTGGATTTCTACATTTGGAACTCAACCCATGGTCCTCACACATACAATGCAGCCAAAGAGGACTCTTGTTTCTTTTAGATCGATATTTCAAATTATCTAAATTCCTTACAAATGAAGGCTTTATATATGAACTTCTACATAAGCTACTGTGACCCCAAATAATATTTATCTAATCCCATCCTGTAAACTTCTAAAGTCTAAGTAGATAAATATCAGCATAACAGGATAATTCTTTTAAAGACTGCACACAACTTTTCTAAGTAGACTGCATCTTGCATACATTATTCCTTTACAGACAAAGGAGACGTCAACTGGTAACACTGTGCTCAAAAAAAGGAAAAAAACTGAAGCAAGTTTCAAAATAGTATTTGTTTAATGGAAAACAAGATTCGATTCATACTTAATTTAAAAACTAACTCTGGAAAATGAAGATGAACAAAAACATTATGTTTAAGTAGCCGCATCATGGGTCCCTCTGAACGGGGATCACAGCTCTTATTTCCTTTTCTGTCTTACGTTTCTCCTGTTCTCAGAGGAAAGTCAGCCTACATCCAGTAACAGCAGGATGACTTAGCCACCAGGGGGAAGCACTTAACTTTAGATATTTATTCACAGAGGTCCTACTGTTAGAACTGCAAATGAAACTGTAGATAACCCTTTAATCGGGTCTGGTCACAGGCCATTTTGGAAAGTAGCACAATGCAGGCCAGGCTCCGGGCAGACACTTACACAGTGACAGGGAAGACATCAGGGGAGGCCGTGAGCGTCATGCAGGTTGTGAACACCACCTGCTCACAATGGCCATGAAGAGCACAGTCGTCCGAGCTCCAAGCCGTGGGCAGGGTAAAGGTAATGTTTATTTCCTCGTGGGCTTCCCTGCCTGTGAAAGAGCAATCGGGATTTTTAGTACGTACAGGCTGGAGTTCCTATATCACTCTCTGGATCAAGTGAATCCTGACCTCCAACCCACTCAGGAACCCCCTGAGGACACAACCTCTTGCCCCCAACTACGAGGCCTGCTCGACATTTACAGCAGCCACGAAGTGGCCAAGGCAGACCGTCGGCAAGAGCAGGCCACACCGAGCGGGGAGCAGCACAGCTCCAGCTCCAGCTCCACCCTCGTTTTTGTCTGCTTTCACACATACCACTTCCCTTTAGATTCACCACTACCCCATGGATGTGAGCGAAGGTGACAGCTCCCCTTTTATGCAAGTAAAACTCGAGGATCTGAATGTCTAACAAACTTGAGAAAGGTCAGGGGACCAACGTCTGATGAAGCCTAAGCCACAACCGAGGGATTCCAAGGCCAAGCTGCTTGCTCCATGCCAAACTCAGAGGTCGCCATACTTTGACATCACAGAGATGGCTTTACCTGCAGGAGTCCTTGGAGACAGAGGGGCTGGCACTCAGAAATTCCTTTATCAACTTTACAGTGGGAACCCCCAGGCCTCCCGCAGGAAGTCCTTCCTGATGTTTTCAGCTTCCACAACTTCCCTGTCCTCCTGAATCACTCCATCTGTCATGAGTTAGGCACTGGCCAAAGGACAGTGACCCATGTTTTACAAGGGTCTATTTTTCCTATTCAATAAACACTGAGATAGTACTGCCTTCATGCTAGGAACTCAGTGTTAACTCATGTTGTTTTGGTCTTTTCTAGAATGCCAGAATTCCAAGGGTAGAGAACAGATTTTAGGTTTTTTTTCTACTCCTAACACAGTGGTAAGCAGTTAAAAAAAAAAAAAAAATGCAGGTCTGGTAGAGCACCCCTGGCATGGGAAAGTACTCCCCTGGCATGCTTCAGACCATGGATTTCATCCCCCAAAATGGACAAGGGAAAGAGGGACAGAGGTTCAGACAACATGACTATGGCAATACGAGTACTTCTAGTTAAGTACTAAAAATTCAACAGGATAAACCTGAGTGAAAATGATACATGTAGATACAGCTGGCCCTGGACAATATTAGTGTTACTGTATAGCCTTAAATCCAACTAGAATTTCTGACACCCAAAACTCCACCCTGCAGTTGGCTAGAAATCTTAATAAGTCCTAAAGCATTTTGCATGTTACAGGGGAAATCCACAGAAGCAGGAGATCCCTTTTTACCTCCACTCAGCAGTGGGCATTTTCACAGGTTTTGACAGTCGCGTACTTGAGTTCCCAGCATCAACAGCAGATGGTGGCTGAGTTATTACAGGCAGATGCCATGACCATAGCTGATTTCAATTAGGATCCAGTACCACCTCTTTATGTTTGCTTAAGATCTCTCCTCTGTGAATGGTGCTGTGCAGTCCATTCATGTGTGTTAGGCTCTCAGAAATCTTAATTTTTTAAAATATACTTGTGTATACTTTAAGGTAGTAAATGATTACAAGATAAACTATCATTCACATATCTTATGCATTCATGACATACTTTTTATCCATTTTTTTTAATATTTCTAGTTTATAAGCTTATCTGCAAGTTTTTTTGAATTAGCATATATTCTCAAAAAAAAAATCCAAGTATAAGTGGTCTGTGGAATTCAAACCAGGCGTAGTGGTGCACACCTGTAACCCTAGCACTCGACAGGCTGAACTGGGAAAACTGCTGTGCATTTGAGGCCAGCCTGAGCTACACAGTGAGTTCAAGGCCAGCCTGAAATGTATAGCGAGACCTTGCCTCAAAACAAACCACCTCTGTGTCATTCAACTGTTAGAGCTCGAAACAGGCCTAGCAGCTCTCCAGCTTCTCTTTCTTTGGTGGTGCTGGGGACAGAAGCCAGGGCCTCACCCGCCAGGCAAACACTCCACCACTGAGCTCCGCCCTGGCCCTGGCCGTTTCCTCTCTACAAATGTGCAGCAAGACACTGCTGCTCCGCACATACTTTACGGAGTAAAGATGTCTGAGTGGTTCCTTCCAGACCTCACACAGTTCGAGCTCAACATAAAACACACAAGTGCAGAAAGCAAACAGCAAGATGGCTGATGCACTGTCTGTCTTAATTGGTGCCTCAGAATTCTGAAAGGAAAGGGGCCAACACTCGCTCACCTGAAAGTCCAATCTGATGTCCCAAAATGGTCGAATACAGATGGGTGACATTGCGGGAGAAGCCTCCAAAGGGCTTGAGGGGGTCCAGGGTCAAGGTGATTGCAACTGAGATGTTAACTGGGCCCGAGTCCTCCAGGGCCTGTGGGGACTGGGTGGACACTCTGGCCTGCCCGCTGGTCACTGTGCTCTCCGAGGCTGTGCTGTCGTTTGAGAGATGCTTTAATGTTTCATTTTCCGATACACACAAGTCCAAGTCATTAAACCGCAGCAGAAAAGTATTCCAATCCTTCAAGAAAGTGAAATACAGAGAAACAAAGGTGAGCTGTCCCAAGGTGCCCCACTACAGGAATCCAGGGAGGCCCTGCAGTGAGGCTGCACAACGGGAAACTGACTGAGACGGCCATTCCCCGACAGGACACCGCAGCCCCTCCTCTGGAACTGCATGCACTGTGTGACTTTCCTAATCATGTCCATATTCACAGTGCCCCAGGCAACCTGGATACTGGCATAAGATATCAAACACACCATGAGATGAAGCCAACTCACTCAGGAAAACATGTAAACACAGCAGACTAATATTATACGAGCAGAAGTGAACTCGGGGAGCGGAGGGGGATAGGCAGAGCACTGGGGGACGAGCAGGACCCAAATGTGTTTTATGTGTGGACAAAAATCCCGCAGTGAAACCCAATGTTCTATAAAATAAATGGCACCAATAAAAAGCATATTCTGGTAAGAAGAATCACCAGTCTCAGAATCAAACTGGGAGCAAAAGTACTAAAACACTTAAAACATTTATTCAAGTTCATTTAGTAACTGTTATTTAAAGTAATCCCTCAAAAGGCCAATTCCATACACCTTGCGTGCTGTTTTTAAAACACAAAAGAGCAGTAAATTCCAGTGCGGATTCAGGACTTACTCCTCCTTGTTATGGACTTTGGACATCACTGTGGAGCAGGAGCAATTTCAAAAAGAAGGGCACAGGATGCTTTTCACTTTGTCGTTGCTGCTGTTTTCCAGTACTAGGGATCCATCCAAGCCTGACACAGAAAGGCAAGTCTCCCCCTCAGGGCCACACTCCCAACTGCTTCTCTCGGGCTTGTTACCGGTGACCGGCTGCCTGCCTGGCTGGCTGGCTGGCTGGCTGGCTGCAATACTGAGGCGTGGATGCAGGGCCACTCACTGAGCTGCATCCCTGGCCTTTTTGTTTCTTCTCTTAAGATCGCAAGCCCTAGTGGTTAAATCATAAGCCAGTTTTCAAATACATACAGCAAATGATGTCATGAGAAAACAGATGCCAACAAAGTAAAAATTTTGCCAGAGTCCATTTTCAATTTTCCAGAAAGTCAGCGGTGATCTAATACTGTACAAGTGACAACACACACGAAGGCACACACTGGTGACAGCAGCACTTTGGGAGGCTGAAGCAGGAGGATCATGAGCGGGATTTCCCTAGCAACTAGCCAGACCCTGTCCAGGGATATAGCTCAGGGAGTGGCCCTACGTTCAAACCCTAATACTGCAATCAATCAATCAATCAGTCAGTCAATGACAACAAATCCAAACTAGGCTACTAGTGCATATAACTCCCAAGTTGCCAAACAGAAGACAAAACAAGTTACATTTTTAATTACTCTAACAGTAGTATTAATGTTTAAATGCCAATTAAACAATCCGCAAACAGTGAAGTGATCTTTGCAGCACCACTATACCAGCACAAGTAGGCCCAGACTGCAACTGGGCATCAATCCCATTTCCCTGACACTGACAAACTCAGCAAACCATTCTAACTCATCGTCTAACCCTTCATGCCGCAGACATGAAGGAACTGAGGCCTGGGTCAAGCCAGGCTCCTCCAACTCCACAGCTGAAGACAGAATCAGCAGCCATTCTGATTCACAGCCTGAAACTCTTCCCATGTATCTACTCCTTCCTACCAATCAGGAAACCACCAGGTCAACCGTTTGAAAGTAGAACCAGAAAACTAACCGAAGTTCTGCGGCATTACAGCTTTACCTTCATGCAAAGCTTGAGAGTCCATGTTAAAAAACAGCCAAAGCCAACACTGCGTACCATATTCATTATTAAGGGCTAATTATCTGGCTGTATCTTTTAGCCAGTAGCCTTGGTCAAATGCTCAAGACAGACTCAAGGTGTATGACAAGGAAATGGCAGGATGCTTGCTACCAAGCTCTGGCTATGACCATGATCTTCATTTTCTCCCTAACATGTGTGTGCAGGTAAGGATTCAGGTCAGGTTAGAAAACAGGGAGAATCGGGCCAGGAATATGCCTCAGTGGCACAATGCCTGCCTGGCAAGCGTAAGGTCATGAGTTCGAGTCTCAGTACAAAAAAAAGGGGGGGGGATTAAACCAGCTAGCAAAGTTCTTGGTAAGACTCTTTGGAAGGGTTTCATGACCAAAATAACTCAAAACTTATTCCTTTGACTGTGTTAAAGACAGAGTTCACAAGGGAAGACTGTCCCTCGTGCCAAGATCAGCTACAACCTAGACTGTCACAGAGAGGAAGAGAAAGCCACGAGACCAGTGACAGGGAACTCTCCTTCCACAGGAGGCATGCATGTGCACACATACACACAACACAGCTGCTCACAATCCCAATCCCCATCCTCACATCCATCGACAAACCAACCCAAAAGTGTAAGAGAAGGCACTCAAGACGGGCACTCCCATTAAGATGGGAACTAACTGATGCTACAAGAAACTCTGCCAGTCAATTCACCGTATCAATAATTTAGCCTAATATCTTACATATAAATTTATGAATAAATATATTATCCACTTTTCTTAAGAATTACTAGATTTATTACAGGGCCGTGGATTTAGTTCAGTGGCATAAGCGCCTGCCTGGCAAGCGTGAGGTCCTGAGTTCAATCCCTGGTACCAAAAAAAAAAAAGAATTACTAAATTTGTTATTGTTTTCTAATATGTAAAATATACATTTAATATTTGCACTATGTGTTCAATTATAATATACCTAGCTTATACTGTGATAAAAACTGCATTATACTGGCAAAAAAGCAGACACAAGGAGCAATGGAACATATCAAGAGACGCAGAAACAACTCCAGACGTATTCAGCCACCTGATCTTTGACAAAGGAGCCAAGCATGCTCACTGGAAGAAAGACAGCTCTTTAGTAAATGATTCTGTTTTTTTCTTTCTTTTTTTTTTTAATCGGTACCAGGGATCAAATTCATGACCACCTGCTTGCAAGGCAGGTGTTTATGCCACTGAGCTAAATCCCCAGCCCCAGTAAAGGATTCTGGAAAAGCTGGCTTTCCATTTGCCCAAAGACTAAAACTAGACCCATGTCTCTCACCATGCACTCAACTAAAAATGGATCGGAGATCTAAACATTAAAAAAGAAACATTAAATCTGCTGGGAAAGAGAATAGGCACTGGTGTGGGCAAAGACTTCACGAACAAAACCCCAGTTGCACTGGAAATATCATAAAGAATCAATTCAGATCTCATTAAAAAGCTGCTGCACAGTAAAACAAATTATCAATATAGTGAAAAGACAACTCATGGAGGGGGAAAAAATTTTGCCACCTGTTTTTCAGACAAGATATTTTAGATTTTAGATATTAGTATACCTAAAGTATATAATTAAAGACCCAATCCAAAAATGGGCATCTGAGATGAATACATACTGAGAATCTGAGGAGATTATAAAATACAAACAGCAAATAAATATGTAAAAAACGTTCAACATCACTGGTCATTTCAATGATGCAAATTAAAACAAACTGAGATTTCACCTCATGCCAGGAAGAATGACTATTACACCAAGTAATCAGCCAATAACAAATGCTGGCGGGACTGTGGGAAAAAAGGAATCCTTCTCTGCTATTAGTGGGAGGGTAGACTGATGCAACTACTATGGAAATAAGTATGAAAATTTCTCAAAAACTAGGACTAGAGGTCCCATTTGACTCAGCTATTTTTCTTGCTATCTTTCTGAAAAAAATTAAAAGCATCATATCACAGCGATCTATGCACACTCATGTGTATAGCAGCAGTTTGTAATAAATACTGAAAACCCAAATGCCCATCAAGCAACAAATAAATAAAAAAGATGTGAGTTTTTTAATACAATGGAGTACTACTACTTCTAAGTATTCACTGTCTCCCTGGTATGAGAAACTGAAAGTGTAATGGCTTTCCTCAGTGGTATAAACACCCGCCTGGCAAGTGCAAGGTTGTGAGTTCAATCTCCAGTACCAAAAAAACCAGAGAGAGAAACTGAAGTGTAAACAAAAACCAAAATGTGTAACAGACACTGTGAAACTGGAGTAAACTGTTCCAAAAGAAAGAGGAACTAGGGAGAGCGGAAGGGGGAAGGAAGAGAAGAAAAAAATGAGGAAAGAAGCACAAAATGGAAACAAACCTTTATAAATAAGGAAGGAAAGGGCTTAGAGAGAGGAAGGGAATGGGAAAAAGAAGAGGCAACAAAATATATCAGGTATAGTTACAAATTCCCTATGATGATATCTAAAGTTACCAACAAACAATAAAAATGTATGTATATACATATATATAGCTTAAAAATTAAAATGTCCCATAACTTAAAGTAACTAAAATATAAAAACCAGAAGGCAAATTTGTATTTTTCTAGCTTAAGAAATAAAAATTTAGAAATAAAACCCTGCTTTAAAAGAAAAAGCCATCAAAGCAGCTAGTAAAATTCGTTAATAGACGTGAATTTGAGGTAGCAAAGTTCGGCGTTTCTGCCAGGTGTGCTGGTGCGTGCCTGTGACCCTAGCCCTTAGAAGGCTGAGGAAGGGCACCTTGGATATTAGATACATAATGAGACGCTGTTTCAAAAAAAAAGTGGAGTTTCCAAAAACAGCAGGTAACTTAGGAATTAGTATCGAAGACTTGAGTTCTCTAGCTTCTTGCCTTAATTTTTTTTTTTTTTTTTTTGGTTTTGTCTTTTTAAGACAAGGTCTCGCTATGCAGTTTAGGCTGACCTTGAGTTCACTGTAGCCCAGGCTGGTCTTGCACTGGCAACAATCCTCCTACCTCAGCCTCCCAAGTGCTGAGATTACATTGTGCGCCACCATGCCCGGCTCACAAATCCTTTTATAAATATACTCTCCAAAATGTATCTATCTCATTACTGGAAATGGTATTGTTATTTAAATCAAATAATGAGTATCTAAACAGGTCACAGGGAGATGGAAACTCTGAAAATTCTGACTACTGGTCTTTTTCAGCAGGAATAAGAAATCACAACAGAAAACAAACAAAATGAAATAAAGGTGAACGGAAAAGCAACAAGTATTTCTCCTCTACAAGGTCTACAGGCCTGAGGAGAAAAGCTAGAGGATACGCACCTCTGTCATTTCCGGTGACTTAATCTCCTTGATCTTGAAGAAGTAGCCCAGGGTCAGGAAGGCTATGGCCATGGCGCTGACGCTGATCATAAAGACCACCAGAGGCGGCCGGCTGCTGATATACAGCTTCAGGTTCTCCAGGGGGTTGATGCTAAACATTATTCTGATCAGCTCCACCTGCAGGAAACGAGCACAAGACTCAGGCTAACCTGCCAGAAAGAAGCCAGTATTCCTACTTTGTCTCCCTGGGTGGCACTGGAGTTTGCAGGGGCTACTCATTGAATTGGAAAATCATCTGATCAATAAATTCTTTTCAAGGGGGTTGGAGGTGTAGCTCAGTAGTTCCCTAGGCACATGCTTAGCACGTGCAAGGCTAAGCCTGGGTTTAGTCCGCAGCACAGCAGACACACACACATACATACATAAGCTCAAAAGGTTAGAAGGAAAAGAACACTAAATGTTGAATTTTCTTTTCTTTTTTTTTTTGTCTTTTTCTTTTTTATCAGTACCGGGGATCGAACTCAAGGCAGGCGCTTATGCCACTGAGCTAAATCCCCAGCCCCAAGAACACTAAATGTTAACTATCATCTCAGAATGGTTGGATATTGAAAGATACGGATTCTTTCAGTTTGCATCTTCTAAATATTCTGAGTTCTGCTAATTCCACATCATTTAAAATGTTTAAGTAGGTTGCATGTGCAGAAACAAACCGAGGATGTCCCCATCTCTGATGCTGAAAAGCTGAATTATTATAGCATAACTTCCCTGTCCCTTGCCCAACTAGCACGTACCTGTACCTGCCACAGAGGAGCCCCCTACAATCACTAACCGTGTTTTATCCCTCCCCTGCGTAAAAGCTGGCCACGGGAAGTCCCAGTAGCCACACCTGGGTGAGGTTAGCAGCAGTGGTGTCGGCCCATAGGACATGGGGATATCACGCCCCACTCACCACTTTCCCTTCTCCACACTCAGCCTGGCCACACTGGCCTTACAGTTTCTCAAGCCCTGCTGGGACCACGACAGGAACAGGGACTGTGCTCCTGTGTAGATCAGTCTGGGGATCTTACCAAGGCCATCTTACCACTGTCTTCTACATCACAAATCAGGGGTACCTTGCCATTTATTTGGGTTCTCATTCACTTCACCAGTGGTTTCCATTTTCAAAGTGTTAAGTTTGCACTCTTGTTTATTCCTAAGAACCTAATTCTTACAATTTTTGAAAATGACCTATCCAAAGGCTTTCACTTCAGGCTGGGACTCACCACAGAGGTCTGCCCAGCTCCCAGGAGCAGGCCCTCCCGACCTCCCGCAGTGCCCCTCCATCTATGCGCTGCCTAGGACAGGCCAGGACAAGAACTAATTTCCTACTTGTGTGCTGAGTGCCACAACGGAGACTTTTTTCCTTTTTTTACTTTTTCACTTTCTTGTTCAGTGTGACAGCCTCATCCTCTAGAAGAGAAGCTGGCTCACATGAACAGGTGTGATGAGTATATGACCAGCACCAGCAAAGAACACTTTTTTTTAAAAGTCCATACCAAGTTTTAAATTCTAGAACAAAAATATGCAGGAGCAGCCAGTAAGAACTAGCAGCGCCCAGCCAGCTATGCGCACCTTTGTCTTTTCCAAGAGCCCTCCAAGGCGGAAAACTGTGTTTTCTGTAACTTGGCAAGCAACACTCCTGTCACACCCTTATGGGTGTGTGCAGTGTGATCACTGACACTGTAGCTGAGGATTTGGGAGAAACGATACATCACATTTATCCTTGTGCTATTTCACTCCCTGTCTGTTCTCAAGGTCTGTTTCCTGGGAATAGACAGGCTCCATCAATGTTATCTAACCCGGGAAGTTCACCGCCTGACCCATGTAGCTGCTCTACTGGTGAGTTACACTGAGCAGCCCCGGTAGGAGAGCTTCTTCAACCTGGCCTGACGCCATCAGACTGCGCTGCTAGGCGGCTGGACTGGTTTACTACCTTGCACTGCCCACCTCTGCCTGGTGAGAGTCCGCTCAATTTCTCAGTATTCTGCTGCCTGATCTTCTAAAGTATTACAAGACAGACACAAAATGGTATGTCACTTTAAATTGCATCTCCCTGAAAGCCAGCATCTTTTCACTATCAGCCATTCATGTTCATTCAAAAATAAATTGCCTTGGGCTGGGGCACTTGCCTGGCAAGTGCAAGGTCATGAGTTTGATCCCTGGTACCCAAAAACACAAACAAATAAATTGCCTGGCTAGGCACAGTGGTGTCTGGTTGTAATCCCAGCCACTCTGCAGGCTAAGGCGGGAAGATCACAAGTCCCAGGCCAGCCTCAGCAACTTAGCAAGACCCTGCCTCAAAATAAAAATTAAAAAGAAAAAAAAAAGGGCTGAAGTGCAGCTCAGTGGTTGAGCACTTGGCTCCCATGGACGAGGCCCTAGACTCAGCCCCCAGCACAGAGGAAAAAATTCCCAGTCCTTTGGTCATTGACTGCTAGGGTTGCTATTCTAATGCTTATTAATGTTTAGAAGTTCTTTTTAGATTCTGATACTGAGGCTTTGACCATTTTTGCTTGTGGGCTTTTTTTAGTATCATTTATGGTATATCTTACTCTAGGGAAAATTCTGGCTATTTTTTTTTAAGCAAATCTTTTTTTTTTTTTAAATAACTTGAATTTATTATTATTTATTTTATTTTATTTTATTTTTTGGCTTTTTCGTTTTTACTGATACCAGGGATCGAACTCACGACTGCCTGCTTTCGAGGCAGGGGCTTATGCCACTGAGCTAAATCCCCAGCCCCAATTCTGGCTATTTTTAACAGCTTTACTTAGATACCACAGAATTCAGCCATTAAAGTATGCACATCAATTATCTTTGGTATATTCACAGATCTGCACTGCAATCACCACACATGAGCGGATTTTAATTTCTGAACATTCTGATCACCTCCTAAGGAAGCAGCACCTCTCCATTTTCCCTTGGCTCTAACGCAACCACTACCCACTTCGGTACTTGGTTCCTAGAACACTTTACTTATTCATTAACAGGCTTTTCATCAACTACTAGATGCTTACGATTTCTACTTGCTACTATGAATAGCCAGCTAAGGACGTGTGTACGTTTTAGGTGGACATGTTTTCATTGCTCATCACTATACGCCTCAAGTGGCACTGCTGGCTCAGAGGTAACTCTGTGTTTGTTTGCCTGTCTGGTTTTTTGTTATTATTGTTTTTGGACACAGGGTGTCATTGTGTAGCCCAGGCTGGCCGCAAACTTGTAGCGCTCTTCATTCCTGGCTTTAAGGGAAATCCTTTTAATGTTTCACTATTAACTGTGGTCACAATTTCTAATGGAAATCCCTCAGTAGGTTAAGAAAGTACTCTTATCCCAAGTCTGCAAAGAGACTTTCATTGTATTTTTTCGTTGTTGTTGTTGTTTTGTTTTTTTTTAAGGACTGGAGAGCGCCCGTGGGTCTCGAACCACCGGACTAATCGGCCCGGGAGGTTGGGAAGCCAGACTTGAAGGAACCACTGGGCTAAAGCCAGCTCGAGACTTATAAATGCTACTTCTTTTCAGGGGAAAGAGGTGGAGATTGAAACTAAGGCCTCTGCATGCTAAGTACCTGCTCTACGCTGAGAAACAGCCCAAGCCAACTATGACATTTTAATGGATGTGTTTTCTGCTGCCTCAAGTTTTTCACCTTTCATCTGTTGAACTCTTTGATTATCACATTTATATTCTGGGTAATTCTCATGATTGTGCTTTCTTGTTCTGTGCTAGGGACTGAAGCCAGGGCCTCACGCAGGCTAAGCACATGTTCCACCACGTCTAGCTCTGATCATGAATTATAAAAATGACACTACTATGTGCTAGATTCTCTTCTGAATTCTCACATCTATTCATATGTGAGGTAAAATTATACTCCACCTATGATATTCTCAGAACAGTGTATACAACTGAGATATAAAAACTGAGTTTGTTCACGCTACTTCTTTGTGGAAAAATGTTAAGATGCACACTTCAATTACATGGAAATTCGATAAGACCTTGGCCAGAAGACAATCTGGATCCGCCAAGCCTTTGTCTGGTTTTGTACTTTGGTGGGGTTGTCTGCACTACTTACTTACGTTTTTATGGCTATAAACCTATGTTTTCCATTTCCAAAGAGTCAATTTTGCTAAGCTCTCTTATTCTAGGAAATTACCCATTTACATTGTTTTTAAGCTTTATGGCAGTGTACTGTGATTTCTACAACATTAATTTACTTATCATTCTTCTTTCAATATGAACGTTTTCAGTGCCTCACGATGGGCGACCTTCTCGGCCCTTCTGCCCCACTCTGAGAAGGGCTCACCTGGTTCCCCAGGCTGGCCTCAAAACCCCCGCCTCCCGAGCGGCTGTCTTTACAGACACAAGCCACAGCATTTGGTTCATTCCTTTTCCCCCCAACAGGGACTGAGCACAGGGCCTCTGCAATCAGCTACATTCTCACCCTTTTTATTTATTTTGAGACAGGGTCTCACTGAATTGCTCAACTGTCCAGGCTGGGCTCAAACATGTCATCTCCTGCCTCAGCATTTCCGCCAGGGTGCTGGGATTACAGGTGTGTTTCGCCACGCCAAGTTCTGACTGCTCTTTTTAATCAACCTCGCCAGTTTTACCACTCTTTTTTCTAACTTCTTTTTCCTTTTGTTTTTGGTACCGGGAATCGAACTCACAACCTTGTGCTTGCCAGGCAGGCACTGATGCCGCTGAGCTAAATCCCAGGCCCTCTTTTTTCTAATTTCAACACCCACTTTTCTTTCTTTGGCAGAGGGAGAAATATATTGGGGATCAAGCCAGGGCTTGGCACAAGGCAGCTACCACCTCAGCTCTACACGTTTTTATCTTCCTTGTCTGCCTTCTTCAACTCCCTCAGCTGAGACAAAGTCTCAACAGCTGGACTCTCCTCTAGTAGTAGGCAATGCAGAACGTAGACTCCTCCCAGCTGCAGCCCCGCCCTCACCATGTTGTCAGGGCAACCCATCAGCAAGCCCTCAGGATGTGTCCCTCTGCTCACCTGCTTACGGAGATGGCAGAGACAAACTTATCTGCCCTCCGCACCCAAGACCCCTGTCCATGCACCCACAGATATCTATGCACCCATGTGGCACAACACACCCCAAAATGGGCCCACCAGGCTGTGGTCTTGTGCT